TCAGAATGAAAGGTAGACACAGAGGCAGAAAGACAGAGGCAGGAAGGGAAGCAGTTAACAGTTGTGATCCGGCGCACACCGACCTGATCTAGTTCCACCGTGAAAAAACACAGGTTCATTCTCTCTACTCAAGAGCCAAACAATGTGGCACTAGACTACTGTTGGCACCTCCCAGACCCTGTACTTCTCTACCTCCCTCCTACACATATGTATGTGTGGGGGGCGTGGGTGGAGAGTAGATGTTTGTGTGTGTGTGTGCGGAACCTCTTGAGCAGAATCATCGCGTTATTATCTTCTCTCTCCCTCAATGATAACAGAACCGTTCGTTATCTCTCTAAGGCCTACTGTATACTTGTTATCTTTAAGGGACATATGCCAGTTGTCACCAGAAAGCCAGATGTTATCGCTCACAAACCCAGGTGTTATGACTATGAGTAACCCAGCGCGTCACGATAGCAACAGTTAAAGGATGTGATCTATTTAGCATATTATTTGGTTAATTTTAGAACCAGGAGAAGTTTTGCTTGTTGTGGTAGGTACACCTCTTATGACTGCCTCGCGTAGTTAGAGTAGTCCTAGTTCTAACCAGTTCTAATGGGCCCCAATTCTAATGGGTGCCAATTCGAATGGGTTCTATTTCTAAAGGGTTCTCAGTTCTAATGAATTCCAGCTATAATAGGCCCCAGTTCTAATGGATCCTACTTCTAATGCGGCCCAATTCTAACAGACCCGAATCTTAATTGGGGATAATTATAATAGGGTGCAGTCCTAAAGGGCCTCAGTCTTAATGGGCCCCAACCCTAGACGCCCCAATCTTAAAAGTTTTGCTAGGATAAGTTTTTTTTTTTTTATTGGGCACTCCCTTACATCCTTGTGTAAGGTGAAGCGCAGAAGCGTTTACAGCGCCCAACAGGGAAGCATGCTAAGTTCATGCTTGCCTTTATGTCTCATGAGTTAAGAGCGTAGAAGCCTGAAGAGTCAAGGGCATTGAAGCCTGAAGAGTCAGTGGTTTATGTCCTCAAGTTATTGGAAGCTCCAACAACTTGTCCCTGTGTGAAGACGCCAGACCAGAGGTGCTGATTGTTTTTTGTTAACTGTACATACGAACTTCCTTACACACACGCACACGCACAAACACACACAGGGGGAAGTAGGTCATGTGTATGCTTATTTTATGCACACGAGAAAACAAAATACGGATTCAATTAATTCACGGATATCAAAAGCCTGTATTGATGTGTGTGTGTGTGTGTGTGTGTGTGTGTGTGTGTGTGTGTGTGTGTGTGTGTGTGTGTGTGTGTGTGTGTGTAATAATAATAATAATAATAATAATTAACGGTTTATTGAAAGAGCTTGGCAGCCAGAAGGCTGAAAATATACAGTTACATATTTGGGGAATGGGTTACGAATTACAAATAATATACAAGTGACATAAGTGACATAAATAAGACATATAATAACTTAGATGGGGATCAGCTCAAACTACAGTTCATTTCAACATAGTGACAATGTAAGGAGCAGTGTTTACTGGGAGTGAATGCACTGATTTATTACATGTTATTGATAATTTTTACAATGGTTGGGACTGGGCTGTTCTTATAGCGATCAGTTCGTGCACGTATGGGCTGGATGCGGTTGTGGTGTCGAACAGCAATTCTCGGACAGGGGATCTCAGGTGGTAGTAGGGGCCGGTGTCGGGGATGGTGTAGAAGCTTCTTACCAAATTTGCAGATGAGGCCGTGGTGATGGTCAGTGAGAGTCGAAAGGGTCAGTGTGTTGAGCGCTTCTTGATATGTGGAGTAGGAAGGGGAGAGAATAATCTTGCATGCCCTCTTTTGCACTTTTTCTAGGTGTTTACGTTGTGTGGCATTTAGGGAGGAAGACCAGGTGGGGGAGGCATAGGTGAGCTTGGGAAGTATGAATGTTGTGTATACACTGAGGAGCTCGTGTGCAGGAACTCCGAGGGACTTGAGTCGGCGGAGGAGGTGGAGACGGAAACTGGAGGATTTGACAACTTCACTGACGTGTGGTTTCCAATTTAGTTTGTTGTCTATGGTGACGCCGAGGAGCTTCGTGGAATCTACAACCTGGAGTGTGTGTGTGTGTGTGTGTGCGCGCGCGCGCGCGTTTTTCTTGGGTCCTCTCCCACTTTCTCAATCTTGGCAAACAGCTATACTCACTCCAGCGGCTATTGATTAAAACACACACACACACACACACACACACACACACACACACACATTAAATTCACCTCCCGTATATTTATTCGTGTGTTTCAGTATAACATAACATCAAGATATACTGAACAAATAAATCTTAATCTATTCCTTAAAACAAAAACATTCAGACGCACAAAAAAAATCAACAATAGATAATCACAAACTCAAGACTCAAATATTTACTTCTTTGTTATAGGTGTGTTCATGAGAGTACGTGTTTATTTAGGATACACTGGCGACCTGGCAATATACGGCGTTGGCAAAAGTTTAGCTCAAGGGTTCGAAAAAAAAAGAGAGTGAGTATAAGTTGTTCAGGTTCGATGTTTTCATTGGTTGAATTAATAACCCAACTACAGAGTCTTTGTTCCTATTGGTCAGTAAATGGGTGGGCGGGGGGGGGGTATTTGTAGATAAGATTAGTTCTAATAGACATCAGTTCTAATAGATAACAGTTCTTATAGTCTTAATAGGGTCCAGTCTTAATACACAGGAGCTTAACCTAACCTCTAATAATGAATGGAACCCATTAGTGCTGTAAACCATTAGTGCAACTGGGGATCATTAGTAATAAAACCCATTCATAATTAGCCTCATTAGTACCGGGGCCTACAAGCATGAAGGAGCATTAAGATAGGGCCGAGAAAATTTAGACATTAACTCTTGTTGTCACCTAATGACTGGGGTCTATTATGACTGGGGTCTATTATGACTGGGATCTATTATGACTGGGATCTATTATGACTGGGGTCTATTATGACTGGGGTCTATTATGACTGGGATCTATTATGACTGGGATCTATTATGACTGGGATCTATTATGACTGGGATCTATTATGACTGGGGTCTATTATGACTGGATCTATTATGACTGGGATCTATTGACTGGGGTCTATTATGACTGGGATCTATTATGACTGGGGTCTATTATGACTGGGATCTATTATGACTGGGGTCTATTATGGGATGGATATGTATAACTGGGATCTATTATAACTGGGATCTATTATGACTGGGGGTCTATTATGACTGGGGTCTATTATGACTGGGGTCTATTATGACTGGGGATCTATTATGACTGGGATCTATTATGACTGGGTCTATTATGACTGGATCTATTATGACTGGGATGACTGGGACTGGATCTATATGACTGGGATCTGACTGGATCTATTATGACTGGGGTATTATGACTGACTGGATCTATTATGACTGGGTATGACTGGGATCTATTATGACTGGGATCTATTATGACTGGGATCTATTATGACTGGGATCTATTATGACTGGGATCTATTATAACTGGGATCTATTATGACTGGGATCTATTATGACTGGGATCTATTATGACTGGGATCTATTATGACTGGGATCTATTATAACTGGGATCTATTATGACTGGGATCTATTATGACTGGGATCTATTATAACTGGGATCTATTATGACTGGGATCTATTGTGACTGGGATCTATTATGACTGGGATCTATTATGACTGGGATCTATTATGACTGGGATCTATTATGACTGGGATCTATTATGACTGGGGTCTATTATGACTGGGATCTATTATGACTGGGATCTATTATGACTGGGATCTATTATAACTGGGATCTATTATGACAGGGATCTATTATGACTGGGATCTATTATGACTGGGGTCTATTATGACTGGGATCTATTATGACTGGGGTCTATTATGACTGGGATCTATTAGAAATGGGGCCCACTTCATCTCCTTGTCTGTGTGATGACGTGAATATTAAAACAACCACAAGTAGTTTGGAAAAATACCCAAATGTGTGTGTGGTGGGCAGGGCAGGGCAGGGCAGGGCAGGGCAGGGCAGGGCAGGGCAGGTCTACAAGAGGCAATGTTCTCTGTTAAGAGCTAAAGACAGACAGACAGACAGACAGACGGACAGGTAAAACAGCAATGTAGAAAAACAAACACAGAATCAATGACACGAAGTAAGGTGGTCAGATCACAGTTCATGGTTACACGATACGATACGAAGTCATTAGTTAAGAGGTGAAAGAAGATTATTAGGAGTTGAAGGAAAAGTGGTGAAACTGAAATACAGTAGGAGTAGAAAGAATCTGGGCTCAACCAGATCGCTTCATCTTTCTTATTGGTGTTTTGTCTTTGTTCTGCTCCCTTGGGTCGTCAGACCTTTGTATTAATATTGGTTTATTTATATAATGCTGCTTATTATTATTATTTTTGTTATTGTTGGAGTTAGTGAGCCCGCCCAGGTCCTTGTGTAACTGGGAGGGTAGTCATTTTTTTTTTTTTTTTTTTTTTTTGGTGTTAGTTAAGTGTTAGTTGTGTTAGTCTAAAGGTACACTGTATGGAGAGGCCTGCCAGGTTCTTAGTGGAGCTGGTTGGTCACTCTCATCTTTATTCCTCTAGTAATGTTTTATGTAGAAATGTGTATATTGAGGCTGTATTAACTTACAGTTTGTAAAAGAGCATCTCTCTCTCTCTCTCTCTCTCTCTCTCTCTCTCTCTCTCTCTCTATATATATATATATATATATATATATATATATATATATATATATATATATATATATATGAGCCAACAGCAAGATTTTCGCTGAACATATAATAACCTAATTTAAACAGTCTTGGAGGCAGGCAGAGCAAACTACTTAAAAGCGGCTGAGTTGTTTCTGACCGACACGTGTTGTGTTGTCAGGATGGACCTTCGTTACCCCCCCCCCACCACTACCTCCCCCATTCACCTACACCGACCCCCACTACCACCAGTGCCCAGCAGCTTAAGGGCCATGGAGGCACTGTGTTCGCTGTCCACTGTACCACAGGACCTCGCGGTGAACACAACGTATTTAGTGCCACTCGCTGGTCAGACTCTTGTCCTGCCCGGATCTTTGTTTACCTTGAGAACCTGACAGTACATGCTGGACCTTACACCTCTGTGAACACTCCTAACCAAGGACAGTAATTATTAAACACAGTACACGGTCTCCTGGCTATCTCTAAGGTGTTGGCGGGGAGAACAGCACCACAGACGCTCGACGTGTGTGTGTGTGACGTGGAGATAGAGCGAGTGACAGGTTGCTACCAGCCACAGTTCCCATGAGAACGGAACCCGGGACGATAGAGACAGGAGTTATGGAGGGCAGCAGGAGAGAGTCCGAGGGTGGTGAGACTCCGATTACTCTCCTCCAACCCACCAGCACAGACCCCGAGGAGGACCCAGAGAAATTCAAGCTCTCGTTACTGGTAAGATCACCTGTAATAAAGAAGTTTATTACACACTTGTTTAGCTGTTGTGACTGTGAAACATACACTTTTACACACACACACACACACACACACACACACACACACACACACACACACACACCGTATAACACACAGAGCCCACTTAAGAGAGTATTTACAGAGCCTACATACATGTACACAGAAGACATACAGAGCTTTACACACACAGCAGAAATAGATCATAAGAAGACTCATTCTGTCAATCTACACTATTTATTGACAACGCTGTTTCTCGTGCTCGACCTTGTTTGGTATATAATATGTTGTACCCTAGACACTACATTGTACCCTGGACAATATGTTGCACTCTGGACAATATGTTGCACTCTGGACAATATGTTGCACTCTGGGCAATATGTTGCACTCTGGACAATACAAATAGATATGTGACGTCAAACGGTTTGATCTCCAAGCCACTCCGAGGCTTCGAACCGCGATCGGAATCTAGCTCAAGGTAAGAGGAGGGGGTGGCGAAGAATGAGGAGGAGGAGGAGGAGGAGGAGGAGGAGGAGTAGAATGAAAGAAATAAGGAGAAGGAGGAGGAGGAGAATGAAGGAAATAAGGAGGAGGAGGAGGAAGCGGATGAGAAGGAATGAGTCTCGCCTCCTTGTTCCTGCTGGCAGTGTGAGGTCTAGCTAGCGAGGTGAGATTTAAAAAGAACAGAAAACACCGCCGCGTTGATTCACCTCCCCAAACGTGTCCCAGCTCTTGTGGTGGTTATCTTAAGCAACATGGAGACAGGAGGCGAGAATGTGGTTACAACTTAGTGTGAATTTCTTCCTCATTGTGTATACCGTTCGCTCGTTGACACATATATATTAATGCTTGTTATGAGGATACTTGATGCGTTACCGAACTTATGGGAGTTTAAGAGTGTATTTGTACATATAATTTTAAACCTAAGTACATAAAATCGTTGCATGGATTATGAATGTATTTATGCATGTGATGTATGCTGTATATGGAATGACGTCTGTTGGTCATATATGCTCAGGAAGACCGTAGCCTGAGCGATAAGAATAACAATCATATGTATAAAATTGATATTGATATTTTGTGATAGGTGGGAAATGTGAAGTACCATCACCTGTCACCATTATCTATCCTTGTCACTGGCTTTTGTCGTCAAACTTGGAGGATAAACGTGCGTCATCAGACAAGGATTTGAAAACTCTTGAAACACGTAACAAAGACTAAGTTTAGTTCCTCTCAAGACATGTTTCGAAGACTGAGGCTGTAGCTAACTCAGTCAGAAGAACCCCCCCCCCCCTCACCCTCCTTCCCTTACTCCCTCTCTCTTTTCTTCCCTCATCCTTCCTCCCTCACCCTTCCTCCCTCACCCTTCCTCAGATCTTTCTTATAAACTCACGAAGGAGCCGAGACTGTTGGGAAAGTCGAGAGAATCTTAAAATCATAAAGTTTCCCTCCAACAAGAATGATAGAAAACGGGTAAAGTTTAGTGGACGTTAACCGAGGTAAATAGTTTGCCCCATTTGTTTATCTTCTAGAGTTGGAATTCTGTATAATTAAACCATTAATTAGCCAACGTGTTTAAGGAGCGACTAGGGTAAGTAATTGATTCATTCAGTAGCTAAGTCAGTAAATCAATCATTTAAATAACACGAACCATACCGCTATTTGCATTTCTGAAGAGCCGTACAATGTTTTCCCTTCAAACCTGGGAGGAGCCAAATGCTAGCTGGTACTGCAGAGATTTGACCTATTTTCAGTGTTTCTTCTTATTCCCCCTCATTACTCTACTTAGGCACTACCATTCACCATTTTTCCTATCATTTACACACACAATGTCTCTCCTTCTCAAGCGTCACAAGTTTTTCTAACCAACTATTTATTTTATCACTATTCTTCTTGTTGGATTCATCAAAACATTCCATCGTAACTGTACGGCATCATACACATACAGTACAAATGTGTTCCTCACTCACCCACTGACGAATTTAGATAACAATGTATATAAAGAGAAAATAAATAACAGACTAATGTGTATAACAGTAAATAAATTGACAAAATTCGTGTTAAGAGAGAAATCTAAAAATTAGTTGTTAAATGTACAAACACCCAAATTAACACAAATATGAGAATTACCAACAGATTAAAGTATTTGGTTACATTATTAGCCACATTAAATATAGTTCACACAGATTACGCAGCAACCTGTCGCCAGCTCAGATTGTTGGCCGAGGCGTAGGAGCCAAGGGTGAGGTGTAGGGGAATTTCCACCCACGAGGAGTAAAAATACGACATCCTCCTTAGAGTTATTCCACATACTCTCTGTCTCTGTCTCCCCAGGGCTTAATTGTGTTGTTCTTTCTCCTCGTTTATTGCCTCATTCTTTGTCTCGTTTTTTGCGTTTTCTTTTATGGTTCTTGGAATTGGTCACACGGAGAGAGTGTCTAAGCCCTAAGGCATCAAGGCCCGCGCGTCACACGTGGTTTTAACCTTACTTGTCCTGACCGTCACCTCAGGTCATCTCTTAGGTACAATCTCTCAGGGCTCTATAATAAAGCAAACAACTATTTTTTACCTGTTTACTCCATATTAGACGACGTAAAATAATATTAATAACAAATTATAATAAACTTAATAAACCTTCTCATCAGCATTAAGACACACACAAGGAGATAACATCCTGGCCAGCCTGAAAGATAACAGAGATAACGTAAGGGCAGCTCTCGTCTCCTCCGTTGTTACGCTAGGTCTGGTGGCGAGAGGCGTCAACGCCCGTGTAGCGTCACATGAATGAGAAGAACTCTTACGACGTGGCTGGGTGTTTGCTGAGGATGAGGCGAATGCTGAGTTAATGGCGTGAATCAACTCTATTCATGACCCGTCATTCACTATTGATACAGGAGGAAGGGTTCATGTGGTAGAGGTCAAGGGGTGTACCATAACCTTTGCAGATGATATCAAGGTCAGAGTCACAAGGGATTATATACGTATAGAAAAATATGATAATGATTTTGTATCTTTCCCAGAGAGGATTGGTATTGATACCCTGATAAAAGGTTGAGAGTGGAGGGCCGTGGTTGCCGACCCTCATGCATAAGGATGGTATCTTGTTTAGCATATAAATACATCTCATTAATATTTTATATCTGTATAAGTTAGACAGGAGATGAGATACGACCATTTCTTAAGACACCTGACACCTTGAAAATGTATAAGTATTACACACACACGAGCTATCCCTGAGTATTCCGTAAGACAAAAATATATATATATATATATATATATATATATATATATATATATATATATATATATATATATATATATATATATATATATATATTCTTCCTTATTTTTTTAACCAGAAAACATTATATAAAAATATAGAATAAATATATACAGTATATATCTCTACTCTTGTATATAATATGGCTTTCTGCAGCCACCCGAAGGCTTTGTTGGATAAAGAATGAGTAATTTGTCTTTCCTGGGAATAATAAATGGTTATTGAGGTCTATGACAACACTTTGTATGGCGAGAAGGAATCTATTTATTAATCCTGGGAAAAATATTCAGTGGAGAGTAGCTGCTTGTAGTGGGTCTTGTCTTGTAGTGGGTGTTGTAGTGGGTATTCTCGTGGGTTTTGTAGAGAAGAGAGTGAAGGAACTCAGTGAATAGCCAAGACAGGGCATATGAGACCAGGTAAATTTCTTCACCTTGACGAATAACATCTCCTCCTCCTCCTTATTCTCCTCCTTCTCCTGCTCTTCTTCCTCCTTTTCCTTATCCTCCTCCTCCTCTTCTGCACCTGAGTGGGGGAGATCCTGCGACCATTGAATCGTGACCTTTATTAATCATCCTTGTACCATCATTTGACATGTAATATATATCCCCTTGATCATTTCTACACACACACACACACACACACACACTGTACCCAAAAACAGTCACCTGAATCGTATCACAGTGAATCGTGCGTTCCCCTACAGCAGTGTGTGGGAGTTGAGAGAATGATTCCCTTTTGGTAGGTCTAAGGGTGTCCGTGGTCTCTTTCTCTCTCTCTCTCTCATTTATTCACCTGCACACCATCATTGTGTCTGTCTGTCTGTCTATTTTTCTGTATGTCTGTGTATGTTTTTTCTCTCTAAACGTGTCAGTTAGTGTAATCTGTTTATCTATTTACCGCGCAGCTGCACCCCAGCCGCCTGCGCAGTTGTAGTGGGGTCTATTAGTGGCTCAAGGGGAGAGAACGTAGTAGATTTGGCGACCGACACAATGTTTACTGATCCTTGCTCATAATTATATTAAGTCACGTAGTTACAGGGAAGGATGTGGTGTAGCTGGTGTTAACTAAGCTTATAGATTCTCTTAAACTAACCTAACCACACCTTTCTATACCTCGCTCTGTTCCTCTCCTGTATGGTATTGAGTGGCTTATTTATATCCTGGTGAAGGTGTACAAATGGGACGAGTATTGATGATAATGTTCCCTTGTGTTTACGGTCCGCGGGGGAGGTAGAGAGCGAGGGACCGTGGCGCATTCGACCCTTTTGTTATTTTTTGGGCGTCATATTTTGTTTATCATTATTTATGTTATCATTTGTGTCTAATTTTTATCCTTTTTTTTATGTGGTATTTAATATGTGTGTTTGTTTGTCTCCTGTAGGATTGTGAGGGAGGCTTCGACCAGGTCCTGGAACTGGCTGGGTCGTGGGGCTTATGGCAGAAGAAGGTGTTCGTCATCTCTCATTTAGCCCAGGTGTTCTGTGCCATGCATGCTGTGTCGGCAGGTGAGGCACACACACACACACACACACATCTAACTACTATTTTAATGACCCACAGCTCAGGTAAACATCATTGCAAACAGGTCATTATCTAAACCAAAGAAATATACTTCAATAAACATCGAAATTGGGTCATCATTATATTCCAAGCCATAACTATATATTGACAGACTGAACATAATGTACACAAACACACATCAATATTATCATTAGACTTAGATCCTGTGTAATATTTTCTAATCATGATATTAAAGAAACAGTTTATCTTTGTTGTTGGTTCTATTAAATGGATTCTTTTTTGTATGCAAGTTGGATAAGAATGTGGATACGGATGTGGGTATAGTTACCAGATGAAGTTAATTAGATATGCAGAATATTACAGAAGGGTAAGTTATGAATAATTCTTTAACATAGGATTTTTTTTTATCTCTGTCTGTCTGTTTCTCTGCCTGTCTCTCTGTCTGTATGTCTCCAAGGTTGACTATATCACGACCAGTTAGCAGTAGTTTACGTCACATACTCCTTGGGCACCACACCTGTAGCGATCATTAACCTCACCCGTGTGTTGGCAGGTATAGCCTAGACTCCCTTCACTAAACTGAAAGTGTAAACAGGCAGACGATTCGTAAATAGTTTAAGGCAAGTGTGGGTGGGTGTGGGTGTGTGTGGGTGGGTGTGGGTGTGTGTGGGTGGGTGTGGGTTGGAAAGTGACACATCTGATCAAATTTGTTCTCACGTCCTCAACAACGACTACACACGTCTATGGTTAGTTGACTGTTGGTTAACTAAGTAAAAGCCTGAATCCATTACCAAACAAGAACCAATTTAGCCAATTATAACATTTACTAAGGGAGGGTCGGTTGTTACGTCAGTTTTTTAAATTTTAACCGAGACATGATTTTTTTTTTCAAGGATCTGGCGACGTGTGGGTTGACACGTGTCTCTCATTAAATATATTACGAAACAAACTGAACAAACTCTCGACACAGTTACTCACGACCCATGACAACGCCAAAATAAACACTGAGTATAAATTGCTGGCGGTGTTTGTGGCAAGGGACGGGAGAGTTGTTAAGAGAGAAACAAACAAACAAACATCTTTAAGAACCTCTCACTATGCATTGGTCACTCCTCCCTTTAGGTTAGGTTTGAGGTCATGTAGTAATATAATACACCTGATAGGCTTAATCCGGTCTCTAGCGTCTACGTAAGTCACAGCTATAAATGACCCCAGGGGGACGCTAAGTGTGGGAAGCTTAAGCTCTCTCTCTCTCTCTCTCTCTCTCTCTCTCTCTGCCCTGAGGGAATAGTCAGACTAGGTCACGGGTTAAGGTTTATCATCACTACCAGTACTACCATCACCATCAACACCACCTACTACTACTACTACTACTCAACCACCTCCTCCTGCCACTGATCATCCACACCCATCCTCATCCAACCTCATCCATCAACAATCAGTTCAACGTCACTCGCAGCTTAAAGGGACGATTAGATAAACTCCGTGGAACAGTGAGTAGCGGAGAATGAGTTTACAGGCCGCAGGTGGTGGCACTAACTGGCAGTGTCCCTCCCTCACTCACTCAGGTTAACACAAGACTTCCCGTGATCCATGACACACAGCTGACGATAAATGGATGAACGTATGATCATCGTATTACTCATCTCATTATGTGGGTCCATATCCCGTTGGGGGTAGATCACTGGAACCTAAGATTATTTCATATGTGGTATAATTTATTGTGGTGTTTGATCGATATTTTTGGTTTCTGTGATGCGTTCTATTAGGTTCTAGTTCTATTAGGCTCTAGGTTTATTAGGCTCTAGTTCTATTAGGCTCTAGTTCTATTAGGTTCTAGTTCTATTAGGCTCTAGTTCTATTAGGCTCTAGTTCTATTAGGCTCTAGTTCTATTAGGTTCTAGTTCTATTAGGCTCTAGGTTTATTAGGCTCTAGTTCTATTAGGCTCTAGTTCTATTAGGTTCTAGTTCTATTAGGCTCTAGTTCTATTAGGCTCTAGGTTTATTAGGCTCTAGTTCTATTAGGTTCTAGTTCTATTAGGCTCTAGTTCTATTAGACTCTAGTTCTATTAGGCTCTAGTTCTATTAGGCTCTAGTTCTATTAGGTTTCAGTTCTATTAGGCCCCAGACTAAATAGGCCCAAATCCCAATGGGCCCCAACCCCAGAAGGCCCCAATCCAAGTAGGCCCTAATCGCAATAAACCACAGTCTATCCTCACTAAACCCAGGATGTGAGAATTCGGGTTCGGAAAGAAGGGTTTTCGGATCTGAATCCGATTTCGGGTCTGATCCCCTGACCTCAGTTGTGACCCAAACTTTCAACTGCCTCGCCTCGTTGGGCTCTTTGGTCGTGCGTGTGCAAATCCCTCAATCGGAACTTTTCTATCAGTGCAATTTCCGGATTCCTGAACTCTGGAACACACAAATAAACACACAAACAAAAACACACACACACACACACACACACACACACGCACACGCACACACACCCACACTAACGCTAACTCTCGCCTCACACACCTAACAAAATAGCTCCCCAGTATCCTTCTATTCTGTAAATACTAAGGTAAAATTCCTTCTTTTATGCCTCGACTCCCTTCAAACTACGATTTAAACCCCCATTCGATACGATTGTCAACACTCTTCTGTCGAACTATTGAATTGAATTGAATTGAAACAGTTTATTTAGCCAGAAAAACACAGATACAGAGTGGATAATAATAACAATATTAACGTGGCTGAGCCAGTTGAGAACCTGAGCTCTCTCTGAGGCACCTGATATATACTATACATTTATCTCAAGGAAGTATTATGTAACATTTAGTATCATCTGGAATAGTACAATAGCATGGTAGTAATAAGAACATCTCATAGTGTTACCTCGGTTATCACTTCAATATTTATAAATTTTATTTGTTTATTATTATATATATATATATATATATATATATATATATATATATATATATATATATATATATATATATATATATATATATACATAAATTACAGTGGAATTGAAAAACACAAGTATAATGGGGGAGCAGCACAACCTGGGTTGTACAGTAATAAGGTTGAACAAGAGGACAGAGCTGTCAGGATTATGTCTAGTTGGCAAATATGTTTATTGCAATGGTAATTACTTATCTATTTACATGAAAATTTCCGATAAAACGGTTTTGATGGTACAATAAAAACAGGTACTGTAAATATAGTAGGTATTACAAGAAATATTAATACTTAAACAATAGATATTTTTTTTAAGAGATGATTTAAAGGAAGGGGGCATAGTCTTTGCTCGGATGGGTGGGGGTAAGTTGTTCCACACCTTCACACCGTGATATTTTATGGAGGTCTGGGACTGAGAGGAGCGCATGGGGGGTGGTCTTAGTAGCTCTGGGTGCCCTAAGTTGTATCTCTGGTTATTACGGAACTGGAAATAATGATTGTCAAGCAACTGATTGATAGATTTGTAAACAAAGAGGGCACAGCAGTAGGTGTTAATATCTTCGAATTTTAAAATTGTCTATATAGCAAATTTCTCGTTTGTGTGATCCTTTTTTTTCAAGTAGGTACAACTCTCTTTTGTGCAGTAACCAGAGATTGTGTTTTTGAAGAGCTCTATCCTCTATAGTGTGATGTTTGTTTATATTCCATGATCACTTATATTCGCAGGGTTGATGAGTGGTGAGGAGCTTGTGTTCAGTAGTAGTAATATCATCACTGTTATTCCATTTCAATATAAATCTCACCAGGACTTTTTCGTCTGCAGCGCCACCACCACCACTAACACCGTCACCACCGTCACCACCACCACCGTCACCACCACCACCGTCACCGTCACCACCGTCACCACCACCAACTTTATACTCTTTACTATGCTTTCATGTTCACTCAAGACCCAGGGGCACCTCTGTGTGTGTGTGTGTGTGTGTGTGTGTGGCGTAACGCACATTCGGGTACAGAGGCGTAAAAATATTGACTGTGTTTAGTAAATATTGTGTATTGTGATGATCTTAATGCGTTTAGGTCTGTGTGTACTGAGTTTGATGTTGACGAAGTTAATATAGGAATAAGGATTAGGTATTTAAAGTGCTTGTATACTGCTAATGCTCTCTCTCTCTCTCTCTCTCTCTCTCTCTCTCTCTCTCTCTCATGCAATACAAAACACATAAGAATTGACTCTAAATTGTTTTGGTAATTTCGTGTTTCAACTCCCAAGTGTTCATTACCTTCACCTGCCCTTACATATTCTGAGCATGGTCTAATCAGTCTAATGCATCCCTGATCAGACTAATGGAGGTTTTTCGTATGAGGTGGATTTTTCTTCTCTTCAAAGACGATTTAACGCAATTGGTGGTCAGTCTTAAGCCTTTTTTATCGTGGATTCAGAACAAAGTCTGACTAAAAATTATTGAACGCTTCTTGTTGACAGCACTCATCAACAGGATTACACTATATAATGTAGAACTGAATGAATAACACTGAAAAATTTCACTCATTTCACTACTATCTCTTAAAAGCACCGTTTTCTTTGATACATTATGCCACTACGCAAGTGCAGTATGTTAAATTTTCCCCATAAATATTGATGAAAGATCGTATCACACTGGCTGACTTTCGTTAATTTACAAATATAACATCCAAAATGGCGTCATGTTTACGTTGAGTCAATATTTTATTGCTAAATCGTGAAAATAATGTTCAGTATTACGACAAAATACGTTCACTTAGCTACAGGAAGGAGACAAAGTAAACGCATGGAACCTTTGTCAATTTAATCTATGGTACTTGTGGCTCTGGTGGCTGAGTGGCAATAACACTCGACTTGTAGTTCAAGAGGCCACTTTTTCGAAGTTTCTTTGAGTGGAAAGTTTTGGTGTTAACGCCTATTGTGAGTTTTTGTTGAAGGGGCGACCATAGCCAGGGAGGTTAATGCTCTCTCTTTCCCTCTCTCTCCCTAATTTACACACACACACATTCTTGGGGTTCACTTAGCGTGGCTTGGACAGTGTAGTCTAGGAATAACTTGTTGGGTGGGAGGGAGGAGCGTCTCAACACCTTCTTGCTGAGGAGGGTACTGGTGGTGGTGGGTTACCGGTACTGGTGATTGTAACAGGTAACAACAGATATTACCAGGTAAAAAAAAAAGTAACATAACAACAGGTGTTCCCTCCTTCTCACCCAGTGTTCCTGAGCTTCACACCTGACCACTGGTGTAATGTACCCGGCCTCAACGACACGGTACAGGAGATGGTCGACCCTCCCTTACACCCTCACCACCTCAAGAACTTCTCCATCCCTTGGTGAGTGTGTCCAGTCATCCAGTCAACTGTTGGTGAGTGTGTGAGTGGTGCCAAATGCCACTCGTGTGTACAGTCACCATTAATTATACAGTCAGTGTGGTGTTCTAGTCTATAATAAATATTTAATTTGAAGATAATTCATCTATTTATGAAAAATCACCAAACTGAAACGAATAAGTTATAATATAACTTAGGCAATAAAATGTTGAACTAAGAACCTGTTAAGCTATTATTATCTTCCCTCTCGCCTTCACCGCCTCCTTCAGGACAAGTAAGAATGGGTACGCCAAGTGTGAGTACTACAACCACAACTACACGACCCTCCTGCCCCAGCTGGTGACCGAGGAGGGTCCAGGGCTCCACCACCTGCCCATCAACGCCTCCACCACCACCTGCGACAGCTGGGTCTTTGATGAGTCATTGTTCCAGTCTACCTTAGTATCTGAGGTGTGTGTGTGTTACAGACTTGACTCTTTGTTTTGTGTGTGTTAGAGGTAAAAGTATACGAGTCTGTGTGTGCGTCAGACCTTAGCGTGTACAATCAAAGACAAAGTCGTGTCGCGGTTTTGTCCGAAGATAAAACATAACTCGTGAAACATTATGAGAGCCCCCTACCACAAGGCAGAGCGGACCAAAAGTTTAGCCCTTCGGCATATGTTTTCACCAAATTTCACGACACGACTTTTGTCTTTCATTGTACTACATGTGTGTTTCAGAGTTGAGTGTGTGAATTTATTTTAAATTTTCCACATACATCTGCTAGTTTATTGTGCACCCCGTATTCATCCTGTGAGTGGTAGCGCAAAGGGGTTACAGAGATGTGCGTAATAGACTACAGTGGTCAGGAAGGATATTATGACGTTGAATATTACAAAGTGTTTCCAATACTGTACATTGTTTGGTTAGTTCTGAACAAAGAGTTTAATATATTCACAATAGTTTGAGTACCCCAGTGGAGCAATATGGCTGGCCGCACACATTGCTACTCACATCTGCTTGAGAGGTATTCCAGCACATTGTATGTATACTTCTATACATAATTGACTGAGCTACTAAACGCAAACAAAAAAATGGATGTAATCTTAATATGTCAGCTATCTTGCCATCAGCGATAAAGTGTTGTGTCATTTCACACATAGTGTACTTGGACATGGCCATATGTCTGGCCACACACTTTACATTAATTTTGTTCACATCTGCCTGAGGGATATACTGCCAAAGGAACTCATATCCTAACCCTAGTCTAGCGGTAACAACATCTTGTAATCTAGTGATCTTGTTACTTGCTCCATATACGTTTCACTTGATACATCTCATCATGGTAAACTATGGATTGACTGGTGCCTGTTTGAACTTGTCTGCTTGCGTCAAATTCATCAATAAGTTCTTTCTTGATTCTATTCAATGGTGTCTTTGTTAGACGCGAGTTTAGTTAAGGCGTCAACTCTGTCGTGTTCACTGAGGCCTATGTGAGAGGGGATCCACAACAGTTTGACCTTGACACCCCGGTCAACAAGGTACGCATATTTGTGTCTGGCTTAAGAGACAAGTCGAGGGTGTCAAGGGCAAGTCGTGAGGACAGAGAATCAGTGATGATGAGACTGCCAGTGGCAGTGGTTTCAACAAATTTAACGTCTGTGAGGATGGTAACTGATTCAGTTTGTAGAGTGGATGCCCAGTTGTTAATTTTAACTATATTCTCAATTATATTACCGTCAGGTTGAGTCACAACGATAGTACTTCCAGCCCTCCCACAGGCGGTGTTAAGAGATCCATCATTATGTGTGTGCGTGTGTGTCCCTACAAGGGTCACGTCACTAAGGTGTGTTGATGGTCCACAGTTCTCCCTGGTGTGTGGCCGCCGCTGGATGATGGCCACAGTACAGGCGTCCTACATGAGTGGCCTCCTCCTAGGTTCCCTCGTCATGGGCCAACTCTCTGACAGGTGAGACACACACACACACACACACACACACACACACACACACACACACATCACCATCAGAAATGTTTAATATCCAGGCAAGGTTAATAAATAAACTGCATATACTTAGCTGGTGCCTGATAGAATCTTGCTTTTGTTATCAGACAGATGTGTTTTATCAAGGCGTCATTCTTCATCAGGTTCGGGAGGCGGAAGATGTCGGTGATGTGCGGGATGGCGGTGGTCGTGATAGGGATAGTGGCCAGCTTCGTCAACACCTACATGCAGTTCCTCGCCCTTAGGTTCATCATTGCTTTCCTCTGTTCTGGTCTCATGGTCATCAACTTTGTCCTGGGTAAATATGTGAGGAAGTACTCACCACACCCCCTCAACCCTCACTACACACTCCTCAACCCTCACCACACACTCCTCAACCCTCACTACACACTCCTCAACCCTCACCACACACTCCTCAACCCTCACTACACACTCCTCAACCCTCACCACACACTCCTTAACCCTCACCACTCACCCTCAACCCTCACTACACACTCCTCAACCCTCACCACACACTCCTTAACCCTCACCACTCGCCCTCAACCCTCACTACACACTCCTCAACCCTCACCATACACTCTCACCATAGCCTCTTCTTCCCTCCCTTAACAGTGATGGAGGTGGTAAAGCCCAAGGCACGAACATTAACCGGCATGATGTACGCTCTCTTCTTCGGCCTGGGCATCACCATCCTGCCTGGGTTCGCTTACTTCATCAGGGACTGGCGATACCTTGAACTGGCTATTGGCTTGTTTTCCTCCTCCCTCATCGCTTATTACTGGTGAGTCCAGGCACAGTTTATTGAGTCCAGGCACAGTTTATTGAGTCCAGGCACAGTTTATTGAGTCCAGGCACAGTTTATTGAGTCCAGGCAGTTTATTGAGTCCAGGCACAGTTTATTGAGTCCAGGCACAGTTTATTGAGTCCAGGCACAGTTTATTGAGTCCAGGCACAGTTTATTGAGTCCAGGCAGTTTATTGAGTCCAGGCAATTTGAGTCCAGGCAGTTTATTGGGCCAGAGTAATAGAGTTAGATGAACCGGTTTATTTAGCCGGAGTAATACAAATCTAATGGAGACTAGAACTAATGGGTCTTATTTCTAATAGGCTGAAGATCTATGCATCCCTGATCTAATGGGTTTTAGATATAATGAGTTAAAGTCCTAATGGGCCCCAGATCAAATGGATGTAAGTCCTAATGGGCCCCAGATTTAATGGATTTAAGTCCTAATGGGCCCCAGATCAAATTGATTTAAGTACTAATGGGCCCCAGATCAAATGGATTTAAGTCCTGATGGGCCCCAGATTTAATGGGCCACAGTTCTAATTGACCTCAGACATAATACATAAACACCAATACAGGTACAGTGTTAGGTTACGTGAGGTACAGGTACAGGTATAGGTTACACAAGGTACAGGTACAGTAATTATCTCGTAGGATACTGCCGGAGTCCCCGAGGTGGCTGGCTTCCCAAGGTCGCGTGCAGGACGCCCTAGTGATCCTGAAGGACATCGCGCGGACAAACAAGAAGAAGTTGCCATCTGACCAACAAATCCTCAGGCTCATCTCCCGAGTCCATGATAAGGTAATGTAATCCATCTAGATATCTATATCTATCTATCTATCTATCTATCTATCTATCTATCTATCTATCTATCTATCTATCTATCTATCTATCTATCTATCTCAGCTGTACTAAACAATACCACCGTCAGTCTCTCTCTCTCTCTCTCTCTCTCTCTCTCTCTCTCTCTCTCTCTCTCTCTCAACGGCCTCCTCTCCTCCTCCAGGAAGTAGAATCATCAACAGAGACACAGCCAACCAAGTGGTACTCAGGAATTGTCAACACAGTGTGCGCGCAGATGACACTCGTTCGAACCCCAGTGATCCGTCGGAGGTGTTTGATCTCGTTTTTCCTGTGGTTCGTGGCTGCCAGTGTATACTACGGCCTTATCTTCTCCGGCACTAACATCAAGGCTGACCCATTCCTCATGATCTTCATCTCAGGACTGGTCGAGTTTCCCTCAGCCATTGTGTTCATCTCTGTTTTAGACAAGTAAGTTGGTTTAGTTTCTTCGTGATATAATTGGGTGTAGGTCTAATGCCCCCCCCCCCCTCATTCCTATCCTCCTACTCTTAGTGTCAATAGGCTCTAGTTGTAGTGGGTACCCAAAAAAAGATCTAATTTAGTTCATCTATTAGAATTGTGGCCCCATTAGGATTGACACCTATTAGAACTGGAGATCTATTATGACTGGGGGGGTCCATTATGGTTGACCTGTCATTATTAACTGATCATCTTCTGTGGGAATTATTCAGTTGGCCTTTGTTATCCGGTACAAGTCTTCCTGTGTTTTTGTTCTTATCTGGAAATTACCTGAGTCCTATTAAAGTTTCAGGGGTCAAAGTTTACCCAAATCACCAGTTAGACAGCAGGAGTAATTATTAGGAAAGTCTATTATACCTTAAAAATATCTACCAGACCTTACGTAGCTTTCTTCATATTATTTGTGGTAAGAATTTAAGATAAATTTAATAAGCTATGGTAAATATGCTGCTTTACTCAATATACTGGGTGATAATGTTCGCTGTATTGTAGTGATCTAGTGACTACAGAATACCATACGACTGAAAGGCAGACTGAGTACCATATACTGTCTGCTGTATCCTGGTGTCCTACTGTACTGGGTAGCTGACGGCACTCTTGTATCTAATCAATACATGCTGATAGTTTTATATTAACACGGTATAAAAATTACAGTTGATTTATAACTGTAGTGTATGCAAACTGGGACAAGGTGGCCGAGAGTCCTGCCGCAAATGTAAACAACAACAAAACGTTTGGAAGTTGTGAGTTTCGGAACCTTTAGTTTATTTCTCAGTACATAAAATTACTTTAAGTTAAAAAATTAATCAAAACATAACTAGTACATCTACATTAAAGTCTACACACTAAAATAAATTTCAACCTCAATATTAAAAATTATGTTTATGAAATTCGAACAGTTTCTTACCCTGATACACGTATTTATTCACGTTAGAGTATACGACTCGCCGCTATCACTAATCAACTGGGCTGGCCAAGACAGATGTTGTACTTGCCTTTACAGATTTCTCCTGGCCTCAGGCTTGTGGGCGTTTCATTTCGACCCCGGCAAACCCTGTCCATATACACACACACTAATGGGATACGTGGTAATGGGTTACATATAGTAATGGAATCTATATGTGCCCACAATATTATGAGAACGTCTTCTGCAGGTTCGGTCGACGCCCGACTATGTGTGGCTTGTTCGTGGCGTGTGGGGCCTGCCTCCTCGCTATCCTTGCTGTGCCTGAGGGTAAGTAGAGAGAGAGAGAGAGAGCAAAAATCTCAATATATGTAATTGGAAATAATGGAAAATAAAATAAATAAGAGACAGAGATAAAAAAAACAGACAAAAATAATAAACAAAACAAAAAATAACACTTTTTTATACATTTTTCTCTCCCCCTCCACCTCATCTTTACCTCATCTCCACAAAGACCAAATCTACGTCAACTTCTTCTTAGTCAACCTGGGCAAGTTCTTCACCACAGCAGTGTTTCAGCAGCAGTTCCTCTACACGGGAGAACTAATGCCTACTAATATACGTAACATAGCCGTGGGGACCAGCTCTATGATAGCTCGGATAGGCTGCGTTATAACTCCTTATATCATAACACTTTTGGTAAGTTGATGTTTTTTTATCTTGTGTTTGTCGAAGTTTTTATGTCCTGTTGTGTTTGTTGATGTTTTTTCATGTTTTATGTCCTGTTGTGTTTGTTGATGTTTTTTCGTGTTTTATGTCATGTTGTGTTTGTTGATGTTTTTTCATGTTTTATGTCCTGTTGTGTTTGTTGATGTTTTTTCGTGTTTTATGTCCTGTTGTGTTTGTTGATGTTTTTTCGTGTTTTATGTCCTGTTGTGTTTGTTGATGTTTTTTCGTGTTTTATGTCATGTTGTGTTTGTTGATGTTTTTTCATGTTTTATGTCCTGTTGTGTTTGTTGATGTTTTTTTTTTTTGGTGTCCTGTTGTGTTTGTTGGTGTTTTGTCTTGTGTTCGTTGATGCCTCTGAAATTATCACCTTTTATATGATATAATTATTAAGTTGTATTTATAAGTAAAGTAAATGAGTATACTAAAGTAAAGTAACTAGATGCAAAAGTAGGTTAACCACATATATAAGTAGACTAACCACATGTATAAGTATTTTAAACACATTTATATGTAAAGTAACCACATTTATAAGTAGATTAACCATATTTATAAGTAGATTAACCACATTTAAGTAGATTAACCATATTTATAAGTAGATTAACCACATTTAAGTAGATTAACCATATTCATTAGTAGATTAACCACATTTAAGTAGATTAACCATATTTATAAGTAGATTAACCACATTTATAAGTAGAATAAAGTAACCAGACTGGTGTGTGTGTGTGACCTCCTCAGGGTGATGTGCATTACGCTCTCCCATCAACACTCTTCGGTATCCTGTCAATGGCGGCTGGTCTTCTAACTCTCCTGCTGCCGGAGACCAACAACACCCTTCTGCCAGAGACCGTAGCTGAGGTGGAGGCCATGCCCAAGTAGATTATGGTCTCCTAGCCAAGGGCGAACGATACTGTGGCCAAGAGAATGGAAGGAGGTTGTGGCCAAGAGAATGGAAGGAGATTGTGGCCAAGAGAATGGAAGGATATTGTGGCCAAGAGAATGGAAGGAGATTGTGGCCAAGAGAATGGAAGGAGGTTGTGGCCAAGAGGATGGAAGGAGATTGTGGCCAAGAGAATGGAAGGAGATTGTGGCCAAGAGAATGGAAGGAGATTGTGGCCAAGAGAATGGAAGGAGGTTGTGGCCAAGAGAATGGAAGGAGATTGTGGCCAAGAGAATGGAAGGAGGTTGTGGCCAAGAGGATGGAAGGAGATTGTGGCCAAGAGAATGGAAGGAGATTGTGGCCAAGAGAATGGAAGGAGGTTGTGGCCAAGAGAATGGAAGGAGATTGTGGCCAAGAGGATGGATAAAGGTTGTGGTCAAGGGTATTGAAGGTGGATGTGCCCAAGGGAATGAAGGTTGTAGGTAAGAGAAGGAAGAAGAATGTGGCCAGGAAAATAAAGAACTGAAATTATGGTACAGACCAAAAATATGGTACAGACCTAAAATTATGGTGCTAGACTATATCATTTCGCCATAAATTCACACAAAAATAATTATCTCCACTAGATTAACATCAAGTCAACTACAACTATAAAACAATTTCTTATTCTTTCACCAACAAGATAATATACACTTACCTTTACCTAAGAACATAATTAAAGGTGTGTTAATTACATAGGTAAGTACACTTGGTTGCCTAAAGTCAACAGGTGTTTTGTAAATAGTAGTGGGGTCATTCTCACCTCTTTTGCTATAATTAGTAAGAAAAAAGAATTTATAACTGGGAACTATATCATACGGGAGCAATGTGGCATAATTAAGGAATTGAGTGCTTTAATTATTTATGTATAACGATTGATTGGAGTTGATTGGTGTGTGTGTGTGTGTGTGTGTGTGTGTGTGTGTGTGTGTGTGTGTGTGTGTGTGTGTGTGTGTGTGTGTGTGTGTGTGTGTGTGTGTGTGTGTGTGTGTGTGTGTGTGTGTGTGTGCGTGCGTGCGTGGTAATAATTCATGTTAGAAACTTTGTCCACTGAGATGATATAGGAAGGTAAAACGAGTTGCTATATATTTCTAAAGTTAAAAAGAAGAAGAAAAGGTATTATAGTTTATAGGATTCGTTTCTCTTAACGTGATGAAGTAATATTATGCTTGAGTTATTGTTTGTGAGTCTTTGGTAAGGTCCTCCTCCAGTGAGTCTTTGGTAAGGTCCTCCTCCAGTGAGTCTTTGGTAAGGTCCTCCTCCAGTGAGTCTTTGGTAAAGTCCTCCTCCAGTGAGTCTTTAAGGTCCTCCACTCCTCCAGTGAGTCTTTAAGGTCCTCCTCCAGTGAGTCTTTGGTAAGGTCCTCCTCCAGTGAGTCTTTGGTAAGATCCTCCTCCAGTGAGTCTTTGGTAAGGTCCTCCTCCAGTGAGTCTTTGGTAAAGTCCTCCTCCAGTGAATCTTTGGTAAGGTCCTCCTCCAGTGAGTCTTTGGTAAGGTCCTCCTCCAGTGAGTCTTTGGTAAGGTCCTCCTCGAGTGAGTCTTTGGTAAGGTCCTCCTCGAGTGAGTCTTTGGTAAGGTCCTCCTCCAGTGAGTCTTTGGTAAGGTCCTCCTCCAGTGAGTCATATACCTTATGTTAGGAAGGCCAAGATTGAAGGTTGAGGTGGATACTAAAGAGCTAAGACCCTTCTTAAACGTGAGTCAGCCGATGAGTCACGTGAGTCAGCTATGGTGTCACGGGTGTTAGCTGTAACATGATTCACGTGACTCATCTTATAGCTGACTCACGTGACTCATCTTATAGCTGACTCACGTGACTCATAGCTAACTCACGTAACTCACCTTATAGCTGACTCACGTGACTCATCTTATAGCTGACTCACGTGACTAATCTTATAGCTGACTCACGTGACTCACCTTATAGCTGACTCACGTGACTCATCTTATAGCTGACTCACGTGACTCATAGCTAACTCACGTAACTCACCTTATAGCTGACTCACGTGACTCATCTCAAGGTGTGACGTGGATGTGAATAACTCGCTTTGTATACATCTAAATTATTATTTAATTTTCCGTTAAAACTATTTATCATAAGTTTACACCGTTCACTGCATACTGCACTGTACACTGTAAAATTGTCGCCCTGTGCATATTGCGCATTTTATTCATTAAAATTTATAACAATTCCACGCTTTGTAATTTATAAAAAAGTCCAATAAAGAATATATTATTTACAATGAATGTTTTTTTTATCGTTCGTCAATTTAAACTAATTATATAAAAAACGCCAAATGGTATTGAAGTGTCGAGTGTTCAAGTAATTTTGTTCTCATTTGTACAAAGGTTCAAGAAGCTGTTATGTGTTCCCTGTTAGAAAGAAATAGTTTATCCTTATCTTCCCCCCCCCCCCCAACATATACCCTGTGTTCTGAGGTTCACGGAGTCAGTGCTCAGGTGTAGACAGCATGTTATCATCTCTCTCTCTCTAAATTATGTACTTACAACACTTATATAACAAAACACTGTAATATCACAACACCCTAATAACCCTCAGAGTGTTGTAGGAGAATCAATTGTAAACATAGAGAAGTTAAAAGCATTTATTAATTCATATCGTTATGATTTTGTTTTACTCTGCAGACACCATAAGTTTCTGTCGTTTATTCAATCGTCTATACATACACACGATACCCTTAAATGGTTGACAGAGTTATATATCATGAACTTATATATTATTTATCGATACAGTTACTTATTATCGCTCAGTGGTTGTTATAGGTCACATTAGCCCCCATCTTTAGTATTGGGGCCTATCAGGACAAGGGTACAGTCAGACTAGGGGCCTCATTGGTTTTGGAGCCTATTATATCTAGGGCTCTTTAGGGTTGCATATTACGAAAACTGGGCTCCCAATCCTGCTAGTTAGGTTAGGTTGTGTTTATCGGAATTGGGCCCTAATTTTAATAGCTAGATTAACTGAACTTAGTACTGGGGCCCGTTAGTACAAGGGCACCCGCTAGTACTGGGGCCCATTAATACTGTCACCCGCTAGTACTGGGGCCCATTAATACTGGGCTTAATAATACTTAGGTCCATCAAACCAATCAGGGCCAACTAGCACATACACCTGTGTTTTATCAGGTGGAGAACAAACCTTCACAAACAACACCAACACAGAACAAGCTATACTAACACACACAAACATCACGGAGAGTTAATACTGAAAACAAGTTCATCTTCACAAAGCTTTATCTATTTCTTAATGCCTCTGTTTTGACTCTTACTAATGCTAACCGGAGTATCACGGAAGTAAATATTATCTCATAGGTAACACTGGTGAGAGAGAGAGAGAGAGAGAGAGAGAGAGAGAGAGAGACTTAATCCTACGCTCAAGTCTTCCTCCTGCATGAGACCTGAACTGGAAAAATGACTTAAAATTCCCAGGACGGACAAGAATCACTGGCCTTCAAACACATATTCCACCATACTATTATATTACTTGAGTCTCTGGGTTAGTCAACTAGTAAAAAAAAAATGGTTCATATAGGGAAGAATATACACAGAAGGGACGGATTATAACTGATAAAGTATTGGGTGTTCTGTTCCTGGCTCACCTCACATAATATTCTGAATTGTTAATAAACTGAAACTCTAAAATATCACCAAACACTCGTACAGTTCAGGTCACTCGCCTCCACAGTCTCTTATGACATCAAGTGTCTCAAGAACATTAAATTAATCTTTTCAACAGAGATAAAAATATTATATCATCATTACCAAAACAAACTCAACACGAGTAGGTCGTCATGTCGTTTATAGTTATCGTGATCACTCTTATACACTTAAAGGCATTGTGTATAGCTGCCAGGACCTATAAATACCAAGACTGTGTTCCTTTGTTTTCAAGACACTTAAAAGGCTATGGAGTCTGCTGGGGCTTCACGCACCCAGAAGACAATTAATTACTGAGGATATAAAATCTACAGGTACTCGAATATCTCCATCATCATCATCATTATCATCATCATCTGAGCTACTTGGGCAAACTATTGAGGAAGAGGTCCTTCAACGATGCCTCTTCAGTATAGTCATTATCAGGGAAGAAATCCGGGACAGGAAGAACGCAGTTGAGGACGATGCCTGTCACCACCATCGCCAAGTACACAAAGAACGCAACCCACCACAGGAACTTCTCCCACCTCCTCCTCTTCAGGTTCCTCAGGATGTTGATTCCTACTAACATCCCGGCGATGGCTCCTCCCAGATGAGCCATGTGGCCAGTCTGCTCAACCATACACCACCCACGGCAGTCACGGAGTAGTTGGAAGGAATGTGGGTAAGATATTTTAATTAATGCCGTAGTAGTAGTAGTAGTAGTGGTAATTGCATATGCTCTCATCATCATGGATCAGGTAAACATTTATCATCATCATTAGGAAACAGGTAGAGACTCAGGTGACTCACGTTAGAGGGGTTGGAGCTGCCGTAAGAGTCCCATAAGGCGTAAGCGACATCAGCGATGGTGAGGGTTAAACACAACACCAACTGGATCCACCTAAACTCCATCTCGGACCAGTTCTGTGGGTTAAGGAGCCATCTGTGGTGATATGGGACACGCACACACACACACACACACACACACACACTAGCGAAAAACAGCACCATGGCTGTTTTACCCAACCATTCTAACAATCAAGTCTGTGAAGGTTAAGAATGATAAGAACTCCCTCACCTAGGAAAAATAACACCCACTCAGTCAAGTCAGGAGAGTCAGGAACTGTAGAATCTTTTGCATCATCTGATATATTAATTGCAACAAACTCGTACCATAAAGGAAATAGCGCCAGTCCGAGCAATTGACAGCGCCTTTGGGGTTTTTCACCGCCCTACCTGATCTTTGAAGTTTTTCCCTTATAAAAACGATTCTTGTTACTTAGAGGAATGATCCAGGCTTAAGACACAACATGGCGGGTGGGAGATGGTCAGTGTTAGGTTAGTAGTACGAGTATAACCACATCACCATTCTATTTATACAAATTTATAATTAAAGAAATCATTTATATTTCAGAGCAGACGAACTACCAACAGTCTAAAAGTCAACGATCGTAGGGCAGTTTGAGTAGTTAAGGGTGGTTAGCTCGTGTCTCCTGGTATATACATAATTCGTGTTACATCTCCCTGAACACTGACCAGTTCACTCGCTGAGTCACTGACCATCAGGAGGTTGCCGACGTGTGAGTAGGTGATGGCATACACCCCGCCAGACGCCCCGGCCACGTACATCTTGGGAGCCGAGATCGAGTGAGAGAGGGAGCCAGCCAGCACCCCTGCCATGTAGATGAGCCCGACCCGCCACCACCCGTGTACCAGTTCCAGTAGCAGCCCCAAAAACACCTGCATCACCAGGTGCATATACCTGCAACGAAAAGTGAAATGTGCTTTAAGGTATCTGATCCTTTCCTACCTCGTTTTGGTAATAGTTATGACCAATTGCCCTCCTTAACTACCTAACTGTTCGTCGTTACATCATTGAACATAAATGTTTTCTCACCTCATGAAATCGACGAAAAATAAACCGAGAAAACAATATGACGTCGGTTGGCGGCACCACCTGCATCCGTTAATTGAAGCCGAAAAATATCGTAAAATTTATATCACAGAAAACATATAGTTCGCGCATTTAGAGGTGGCCATGATGAAGGAAGAAGACAAGTGGCCTGTGTAGGACTCTCCATTGCTGTTGATAATTGTGTCAATGGCTGTTTTGTTGCCAAATACTGTTCTTGATTCCACCGCTTAAGCTAGTAGACTGTTCCATATATCTACGACCCTCTGTGTGAAGAAGTATTTCCTTATATCTATGGACATCACGAGAAAATGACCCGGGTTTAAGCAGTATAAACAGTAAATAAGGCAGATATAGGTTAGTTCCTCTCTGTACTCTGGTCTGGCTAACATCGTTTTCTTTTACAATTTATCTTAAAAAACGGATAAAATTATATAAGAGACTAAATTATTTTTGCTTTGTGAACTTTGGTAAAATAAATCAATAAGTTGAGTTTACAGTATTCCGTCATAAAGAATTATTGAGTCTGATCGATACTTGGTAACAAGCATCGAGGCGAAACATTTTAAAATTCACATCTGATAAAACAAAAATACTTGTTCCAGGACCTAAACTGTGTGTGTGTGAGTGTTGACTTTAGACGATAAAAGTAACATAATGGTCTGGAAATTTACTTCACAAATACCCGGAAAAGATTAAAAGAAAAGAAAAGAGAGTTAAAGACAAATTTACTAAACCATTTTTATCTTTTAAACATTATACGAACATTTCCTAAATATTTCAACGACTAATATCGACATTACGTAATAGAGAGACATTTTATCACCAAGACTTACCCAGAGTGTATAAGAGCGTAGGTGAGGTAGCGCCAGGCCTCGAACCGCTTAAACGGGTTATAGATGAGAGGAGAGTAGACGGGCGGGGGTCCATTGGGTGTCCCAGGAACATCCATGTCTATGCAGTAATAGACGAACACCGCGATCTGTTGGACGAGAACAGTGTTGAGCGGCGTTGAATGTTCATCGGCGTTCTTGTCAGTAAACATTCTAAACGTAAACGAGAACATTGGTGAACGACTCTGAATGTTCATCAGCTCACCCATCAATGGATATACTGAAAATATCAAGCATAGCTGATGAGCTTAGGGGAGCTTCTCGAACCTAACTTCAACAATGAGAGAGAGAGAGAGAGAGAGAGAGAGAGAGAGAGAGGAGGAGGTAAGGTTGGCGTGGGTGGAAGAGAAGAGAATAATGACGAAGGAGGAGGAAGTGATGATGATGAGTTCGATGACGATAAAAGAAGAAGAAGAAGAAGAAGAAGAACCCTTAACCTCTGACCTCGATAAGAGAGGCGGTGATCATGAAGAGGGCAGGAGGACAACACTTGTACTCCTGCAGGTAGCTCCTCTTTTCCACAGTCCTCTCACCCCGGGGCACTACACTGAGGGTCGCCCTGTTAAATGTTTCCCTCGCGCTGGAGTGTTTTGACGACGACTCAGCCTGGAATGGAAGAAAAAAAGTACACGACTCACTCTACCCTTTTTCTTTCGTTTCCTCGTCTCCCTATCATCAGATTTCTTCCACTTCTTCTCTTGTGATTCTGTTTAAATGACTTTATTCCATATTTTGTTGTGATTCTGTTGGTTTTTCTCTCGTTTTATCTCCTCGTTCTTAGTTCTCCCTTTTTATCTGTTTTTGCCATATATATATATATATATATATATATATATATATATATATATATATATATATATATATATATATATATATATATATATATTGTTTTCCTCTATCTTCATTAACCTACAATATTATCTCTGTTTCGCAATGACTATATAATATTCAATGTTTCCTTACACTGCTAACAGCATTCTAAACTAACCTAACCTAACTTAATCAAACCAAAGTTAACATAATCCAACCTAACCTAATTGTACCAAAACAAATCCAACCCAACCCATTCGAACCCAACCTAACCTAACCTAACCTACCCACTCACGTATTGCATGAATTCTTCGTATGTGATGTAGCCGTCGTGGTTCCTGTCAGCCTGACGAAGGAGCTGCAACACTAGGCCGTTGGGCATATCGTCCGCCTCCTTCGTCTGCAGGAGCCGTTCCTTTATCACAGTCAGGGGGATGCTCCGGGAGTGGCTAGGGTCGTGGCGGCTCCAGAACTCCTCCGCCACCTGAAGATTGCGACCTCGAAGTGGTGGTTGCTGCTAGGGAGTAGGGAGGAAGAGGAAAGGAGGAGGAGGAGAGGAGGAAGAAGGATGTAGAGAAGGAGGAAGTACACAGAGGTGGAGGAAGAGTGAGAAAGGGGTGGAAGAGAGTGGTGGAAGAAAAGAGAAAAGAAGTAGGAGGAAGGGCGAGAGGGAGTAGCGGGAGTGATGGTGAAGGAAGAGCAAGAGAAGAAAGAAGGAAGAGGAAGAGGGAAGGTGAAAGGCAGACAAGACAGACAGATAGAGGAGGAAGCAGGTGGACAAAGACAACACGTATCAGTTGTGTGTTGTTTACATTGTGTCGGAACAAACAAACATTAAGTACACACAAACACTGTCTGTCTTTTAACTCGCTACCAAACCCTCGAATCCCGAACCTGCAAACTCTTACACTCATGAACCCCCGAACCCTCGAATCCCGAAATTGCAAATCCCAAAACCCGTAAACTCCCGAATCCACAAACCAGAAATCCCTGAACTAGCAAACCCTCTATCCTCGAATCCGCAAAGACCCGAAATCGTGAATCCCCAAACCGCGAAGACCCGAACGTTAAATGCATCAATGTGGTCCAATACTTAAATATAAAAAACAATTTAAAATATGTGTAATATAACTTAGTAGGTAGAGTGAGGCACAAACTCGAATCTGATGAGGGATTTCCTAAAAGCCATGTGTCTTCGTAACTGGAAATATAAGGACGCATTTTATCAGGTGATTCAAAGCAAAAGCAAGCAAATATTAACTTTCAAAATGTCACTGAAATTAGACTGTGACTATACCTTAGCTAAATCCGTTCCTTTAGCATCAGTTAAAGTTAATAATCAGAATCTATGTATGTCTAGAATCCGAGTTCATGGTACAACCGACCCCTTTTAGTAAACAAAACATTGCATTCACACTCGGAAGAAACTAATAGCATTCACAATTGAATTAACCGATGATACAAACATTGACAAGATACGGAATGATGAAAAAATAATTAAATAAAAACACTCTAATGACACAAAAAATGAAGGAAATGACAGGGAGAAACTTCAATGAATAATAGTCAAAAGTTTTATTTCAAAGCTGAGTAAGTTCAATGTAAGTTCATCTTGTGGCTCTACGGACATCAAAGAGGTTTTGTTTTCCTCCATAGTTATTGAAGCATATATTGAACGTGTCTAATAGCCTGAACGTATCCTATCCCTCACATTTTCCAAAGTTCGGGAAAATAATTCATAATCACCTGTTTCTAACATAAGTGTGTACCTTTAACAATAAATCAAGTAAATAAGTACGTTAAGTAATGAGTGGTGTGAAATAAAGTATTTATATGTAGTACGATGCGTTTTCCATACTTACGTCGCCGCGCCTCACTGCCTTGTAGCCAGCGTCCATCTCAATCGAGTCAACACGCGTCATGGTATCTATCTGTTAACCTTATCCTTCCTTTCTTTACATCTCTGTTCAGATTCTGTAGTTGGCATTCCTCAGTTACAATATTTATTAGTGTTCGAGTTTTTCCTGTTTTCGTTCGATATTTCTTCTTTGTTTCAATTTTTTTGTTTTTATATTAGTAGTTCACGTTTGTTCGGATCTGTAAATTACCTCAGTAGCTGAAAAAATTAGAAAAAATTGTCAGTTTATTATTTACAGATCTGATGATTGTATGGGTGAGGAATTGTGTGTAGCTGAGAGAGAGATGTTAGGTTAGGTTAGTTTAACAAATTTATTGACAAAGCTTGGAGTACAGTTTGCCTATTCTGAGTACTGTAATTTTGTCAGGTCTTGACACTGAGGGTGGTATCACTTCTCACTGCCACTCAGGACAGAGGACAGAATAAAAATAAATTAAAAATAGAAGAGAAAAAGACTATGTTAATCTACACCAAGAAGATGCCGGAAAACCAGCGTTTTAAAGTGAGACAGATTGTATGAGTGTGGAAACACAGAAGAAGGCAGAGCATTCCACGGTTTGGCTGTGTGAGGAAAGGATGTATTATAACGGGTTATTCAAGTGTGACCGACATCCACAGAGAAACGGTGGGCATCGCGGGCAAGACGAGTGTTATGAGCCCACGACCTTGCCGGCGGTACACAGGATACCAAATCCACCGAACATTGCCTGTTAAAGTAACTGTAAAAGAGAAAGAGTGAAGTAACATTGCGGCGAAAAGAAAGGGAAGTAAAATTATCAACTAAAGGAGGAGAGTTAATAAGACGAAATGCCTTTGATTCCACCCAATCTAACAGTTGGACAGAAGAAGAGCCACCCTAGATATGAGAGCAGTACTCCACGTTAAGACGTAATGTTGCGCTACCCCTTTTGTTTCAGATGTGTCCAATTTTCGTCGAATGCTTCTCGTTGTGTGGCGTGTATGAGAGATTTGAGATGATTCCGGGAGAGGGCGAGGGTGGCTTCAATATCTTCTTCTTGTGTCGCTTCTTTGGCAAGCCGATCAACAGTGTCACAGGCAGTTATTCCTATACGTGACGGGATCCAAATAAGCTTGACACGGATGTCATCAGTTTGTTCTAGCCCGGCGACGGCGGCTAGGGTGTGTTGGGCGGCAGGGGAGAAGGGGGAGGGTAATTTGAGCCTCGCTAGCACAGAAGTGCTGTCACTGATTATAAGGAGGTTCCGGCGTTCAGTGCGAGCATAGGTCGCCCCCTCATGAGTGCCCGCGAGGATGGCCCTATATGATTTAGATTAGATTAAGATTGCCCACGAGGGGGCTAGTTTATTGGGCACCCCCTTACATCCTGTGCAAGGTGAAGCACAGAAGCGTTTACAGTGCCATCTGGGAAGCATGCGGAGTTCATGCTTGCCTTTATGACTCGTTCATTAAGGGCGAGTTCTGGCTATTAACAGGAGAGGTCAAGGGTTAAGGAGGAGTGACCAGGAGGCGGTGACTCAACCTGGGTTTATCTCCTAACATGACGTCACTTATTGTTTACATTTTTTACCCGTGAGGAAGTTGCTCAAGGTAAACTTCTGTCATAATGCACTGAGCGTGATGCTAATAATGTTGGTAATAATAGTAATAATAGTAATAATAATAATAATAATAATAATAACAATAATAATGTTGGTAATAATAGTAATAATAGTAATAATAATAATAATAATAATAATAATAATAATAATAACAATAATAATGTTGGTAATAATAATAATAATAATAATAATAATAATAATAATAACAATAATAATGTTGGTAATAATAGTAATAATAATAATAATAATAACAATAATAATAATAATAACAATAATAATGTTGGTAATAATAATAATAATAATAATAATAATAATAATCGTTGATAATCCTTGAGTTGTAGAGATGTTATCGGAGGGGGGGGGGGTGTAATGAGAAACATGAGATGTGTGGATGATGTGGGGAGCTGTTTTCTGGGGGCGTTGGGACGTCATTAGAAAATAATGATCTCTTGGATGTGGAGATGTTGTGTTGTCTGCCATGAACTGTGAAGATAGTTTTTAAGGGACGAATAGTTCATGAAGTGTTGAGTTGTTTAGAGTATTTAGGGTGTAGAGATGTTCTGAGTGTTATGCTAGGGTGTAGAGAATGTTCTGAGTGTTCTGCTGGGGTGTAGAGAATGTTCTGAGTGTTATGTTAGGGTGTAGAGAATGTTCTGAGTGTTTTGCTAGGGTGTAGAGATGTTCTGAGTGTTATGCTAGGGTGTAGAGATGTTCTGAGTGTTATGCTAGGGTGTAGAGATGTTCTGAGTGTTATGCTAGGGTGTAGAGATGTTCTGAGTGTTATGCTAGGGTGTAGAGATGTTCTGAGTGTTATGCTAGGGTGTAGAGAATGTTCTGAGTGTTATGCTAGGGTGTACTGGGTGTAAAGATGTTCAGAGTGTTATGCTAGGGTGTAGAGATGTTCAGAGTGTTGTATGCTAGGGTGTAGAGATATTCTGAGTGTTATGCTTGGGTGTGAAGATGTTCCGAGTGTTATGCTGGGGTGTAGAGATGTTCTGAGTGTTATGCTAGGGTGTAGAGATGTTCTGAAGTGTGCTAGGGTGTAGAGATGTTCTGGAGTGTTATGCTGGGAATTGTGAGAGAACGTTCTGAGTGCTATGCTAGGGTGTAAAGAATGTTCTGGAGTGTTGTATGCTAGGGTGTTGAGAATGTTCTGGAGTGTTATGCTTTAGAGTGTAGAGATGTTCTGGGTGTTATGCTAGGGTGTGAGATGTTCAGAGTGTTATGCTGGGGTGTAGAATGTTCTGAGTGTTATGCTAGGGTGTTTGAGAATCTGAGTGTTATGCTAGGGTGTAGATGTTCTGAGTGTTATGCTAGGGGTGTAGAGATGTTCTGGAGTGTTATGCTAGGGTGTACAGTAGAGATGTTCTGAGTGTTATGCTAGGGTGTAGAGAATGTTCTGAGTGTTATGCTAGGGTGTAGAGATGTTCTGAGTGTTATGCTAGGGTGTAGAGATGTTCTGAGTGTTATGCTTGGGTGTAGAGATGTTCTGAGTGTTATGCTAGGGTGTAGAGTTGTTCTGAGTGTTATGCTAGGGTGTAGAGATGTTCTGAGTGTTATGCTAGGGTGTAGAGATGTGCTGAGTGTTATGCTAGGGTGTAGAGATGTGCTGAGTGTTATGCTAGGGTGTAGAGATGTTCTGAGTAACCTAATAACGTGTTGACATGTCGAGGTGGTAATAATTAGGAAGCATTACCGACCTGCGACACGACTACGCACCCGGGCAAACACAGATGGCCAGACCTGACCCAAGGGAGATCAAGTTCACAAGGGAAACAGAATTCTCACCGCCACTCGATCAGCTCAACCCGGCGTCATGACCTTGTTAATTCAAGGAACTGCTAACCAGCCGGCACTAAAGTTACCGGACCCAACACCCAGTACAGTGTACAGTACAGTACATAACACAGAACAGTATGCACTGTAACACCACAGTAAGCCATATCATTTACCTAAGAGACTCACACTGTAGTAAATGGTGTTATTATAAGGTAAGATGAAGGCTCTGATACGCACCATAACACTGCAGTGTTTTCCATAGCTTTTTATTTGCTAATCGTGATTCCTTACATTCTTTAGCCTTTATAGACAGTGTTTAATATCATAAATTTCAATTCACGGTATAGTGTAGGACAAATTGTTTCGGTAAAAAGAAAGTTAATAATGGAAAATTTGAGTCAGTCAGCGCCTCTTCTTGCCTCTTTTTTTCTTCTTTCTCTTTTTTTTCTTCTTTCTTCGGTCTTTTTTTTTCTCCTTCCTTTACGCCGTCTTCGTGACCTTGAGGAGGAGGTGGACGACGACTCCTCGGACGACGACTCCTCGGAGGACTCCTCCTCCGACGACTCCTCCTCCGAGGAGGAGGTATAGGCCTTGCTCTGTTTGTGCCTATGGGACACAACCTTTCTCTGACGGTGGCACGCTTTTATGCGTTCCTTCTCCGGCACGTACCTTATCAGTAGTGCTCGTACTGCCACAATGAACAAGACGGTGATGATGAGGGCAAGGGCGAGAAGGATCGCCGAGGTGTACGAGATGATGGGCTGGGGGCAGCACGCGGGCGCGTACTTGAGGTGGCGTCGCAGGGACGACACCTTCAAGGCCCAGCGGACTACTGGGATCCACACACCCTCTCCTTGGGAAAGGTGACAGGGTGAGGGGGTAAACGTCCTACCCACAAGGGGTAGGTATTGGAGGATCCCTCTGACTGGGTCAGGGTAGAGTAATTGGCAGACCTCGCTGAGGTCTGCCTGGAGCTTCAGGCTCCAGGTCTCCAGGTAGTCGTCCGTGATGATCACCGCTGTGGTGTTTGGTAGGTCACACTAGATAACCCTTGACATATTGGTGAGAGTTATGCTCGTTACGGCTGTACCACCACCATTCAGTCGTTATCCTCACAGTATTACGGTGTTTAGGTGTTGACCGCTCATTGGTAGATATTTGAACATACTCCAACGCTGATTGGTGGATATTTGAACACACACTTGAATATAGCGAAGCTCGTAATACCGACGGTAGGAATAGACTAACGACACACATTGTGGTTTGATGTCAAACGCCTCTGTAAACACATGTCGAAGGTTAACCGCAGAAGGCCTCTCTACTCTACTCTGGGTAGACCTTGTTGCCCCCCCCCCCCCTCCTGGTAACACAGGTGGTAACAGCGCCACACCACCTATTACTTCCCGAGAGAAAAAGATAAATATGTGTTTGTTTTTTCTCAATATGCCAATCTGGTTGTAATCCAATGTTGAATATGTCACCTTGTGTCCAGTAGAACCACACCTTAGGTTAGGTATTTAATTGTGTCGGATAAACAGTGCCACAGTGGCCCTTGTTCTCAACAGCGCTGGTTCATCAGCTCATGGTAAGGTGTTTCACAGCTTCACCTCGACATAATAACCAATAACATTGAGGAAACAACTGTTGAACACACACACACACACACACACTTACCCTGGAGCTCGTCAGTAGAGTAAAAAACAAATTTAATCCCGGTAAAGAACACAACATTAACCACATCTCACAATGCTACACACACACACACTACTGTCTACCTGTCTCACACACACTACTGTCTACCTGTCTCACACACACTACTGTCTACCTGTCTCACACACTACTGTCTACCTGTCTCACACACACTACTGTCTACCTGTCTCACACACTACTGTCTACCTGTCTCACACACACTACTGTCTACCTGTCTCACACACACACTACTGTCTACCTGTCTCAGACACACACTACTGTCTACCTGTCTCACACACACTACTGTCTACCTGTCTCCCACACACACTACTGTCTACCTGTCTCACACACACACACACTACTGTCTACCTGTCTCAGACACACACTACTGTCTACCTGTCTCCCACACACACACACTACTGTCTACCTGTCTCACACACACACTACCTACCTGTCTCAGACACACACTACTGTCTACCTGTCTCACACACACTACTGTCTACCTGTCTCACACACTACTGTCTACCTGTCCACACACACTACTGTCTACCTGTCTCACACACACACTACTGTCTACCTGTCTCACACACACTACTGTCTACCTGTCTCACACACACTACTGTCTACCTGTCTAGACACACACACTACTGTCTGTCTCACACACACCTACTGTCTACCTGTCTCACACACACTGTCACTGTCCTCACACTACTGTCTGCCTGTCTCACACACACTACTGTCTACCCTCTCCACACACACTACTGTCTACCTGTCTCACACACACTACTGTCTACCTGTCTCAGACACACACTACTGTCTACCTGTCTCACACACACTACTGTCTACCTGTCTCACACACACACTACTGTCTACCTGTCTCAGACACACACTACTGTCTACCTGTCTCACACACACTACTGTCTACCTGTCTCAGACACATCTTATCTCTCTCTTATCTTATCTTCCTCTTATCTATCAGCGTTACCTGTTGTCCTTCGCTCTCTGGTCCTTACCTGTAGTAGGTCCTTATTACTAATAGATTCAAGTTCTATGAGATACCAGCGTTAATAAGTAGACCCCAATTCTATTAGACCTCAGTCCCAGTAGACCCCAGAGCTGAGCGTCGAGACTCTTACTTCTCAGGTCAGATAATAATTACGATCCTGCCTGTCTGTCTGATTACTTGATGATTAAAAACTCTAACGCAACAGTAAGTTAAGTTAGGTTAGCTTAGGGTAGGTTAGGTTAGCTTAGGTTAGGTTAAATTAGCTTTGGTTAGGTTAGATTTGGTTAGGTTTGGTTAAATTAGCTTTGGGTAGGTTAGATTTGGTTAGGTTAGGTTATCTTAGCTTTGGTTAGGTTAGGTTAAATTAGCTTTGGGTAGGTTAGGTTTGTGCTTAGTGTGTTAAATCCTCAAGTCACCTAAGTTATGTTGAGTAATATTCGGGTAATTTTCTTTCTCTCACACAAAATAATAATCCTTACACCTGGTCTTACCTGTTTCATTGCAAGCTTATTGTTCTCACCTGACTAACGCACCTGTTCATTAATTCACACACCTGCGTCCACTGTCCTCAGGTGAGACAAACCACAGACTTAAACTAACCTAACAATATATAATCTAACTCTAATTTAAACCTTATTTAACTTAAAACCACCTGAACTTAACCTAAATATGATTCTCGTCTTCCATTTTTTTTTACTTCTTGTCACTCTCTTTGTTCGTCCTTGTCTCGCTGTCTCCTTTGTTATGTGTTTGTGTCTGTCTTTCTTTAACGTGTACGATTGGAGGCAGCGACAACGGCACTCCCTCTCTCCCCTTTCTTTTTTCCCTTCAGTTTCTCCCTCATTTCCTCTCACCTCCTCCTTGCCTCTTTCCTCTTATTATCTCCCTACTTCTTTTCCTCTCCCCCTCCCCCCGCCCCCCAACACCCCTCACACCCTCCGAGGTTAATCAATACAGTAATTCGTGAACAAAAATGTGGTGACCTTCTAGACACGAACACAGAGTGTAACCTTTTACTACGTAGCCCTAATACGTGGTACTGTCACGTAGCACTGTTACGTGGCGCTATCACGTGGTACTGTTACGTGCCGAATGCCGCATAGATCTGCGGCTCAACTAACTCAACACAGCTAGGATAGCTACTTATGTATTAGGATATTTAATATTAAGGTAATAAATTGGCGGCAGAGGTGTGGCTATTGGGGGGCTGGAGGCCACGTAAAAAAATATTAACTAGCATAACCTAACCTAACCTATATCCAATTAATAAGTTTCTGAAGTTTCTCTTGGTCGGTAAGTCAGTCAGGTTAGACGTCACTTGGCCACGGTCAGTAAACAAGATGATACGTTTACAAGTACCAATTATAAGACACAATGTACACAAAGACTTTAACTAACTTCCTACATTTACCGTTATGAGCCAAATACATAATTGTCCCCAGAGAATCTCAATGTTAATTTAGTCTTTTAACTTGGTCTTGGGAACGTTTTCAGCTAACCTAGAGTCACAGCGTAAATTTGGTGCCATCTTGGGTGTCTTTTGGCGTTCTGGTATATACGATGACTACTTAATACAAAGGTCTAGAAGAATCTGGATTACTTCAGCTGTTGGGGAGCTTATAGAACCAACCCGTCACATTTTATGGACCAATCACAGCCTTCAGTGTCATCATAATACATTCTGTCGTTAATGGTCGTTACACTTATTTAGGATCACCTGAAGAATCGTCGCCCCAGAGTCCGGCAGGGCGACAATTCTTCAGGTGGGATATCCTGGGGTGACAATTCTTCAGGTGGGGTCAGGACCCTCCACGGTTGTTAAATTATATTCACTGTGAGCTGGGGCGACGATTCCTCAGGTGGAGCAGGCTGGGATGACAATTCTTCAGCTGGGATATCCCGGGGTGACAATTCTTCAGGTGGACATTCTGGGGCGACGATTCTTCAGGTGATCCCTTATTTATTCTAGTCTTTCTTTCGTTAGATTTCGTAGTTATCTTTATATATACGTCAAAGGTATTACAGTAATACCTTTTCACTAATTATTGTATTCTGCACACAGACACACAAACACTCACACACACACACACACACACACAGGGCAGAAGAGGAAGGTGTATGTCCACTAGGTAAGATAATTTCGGTAACACTGTTGGTTGGCGCCTTGACTCATATGGCCCGTGAGTGTTGCAGGCTCATACAAAATATCGTACCGCACCTCAGCATTGACGAACACACACACACACACACACTCGAGCGGTTTGAGAACGACCGTCATCCACACTTATGATGAAATATTTCTAAGAATGCAGATCCAGCAAGGTAACAACATACAGCACCAGGTTAGGTTAGTGATTTGTAAAATAACGTCACGCTTTCCAACCAATCATAACCATGGTGACTAGATCTCCCTGACCACACACACGTACAACACAAATACTCAATAAACGTCACCAGAATGCCAGGTATGTAGAGTACCTAACACTGGGACTATACACCTGACTCAATAATTAAGGTCTTCTGCTGTCAGGAAATACAAAACTATAAGTTATTCATGTAACGTGTGTGTGTGTGTGTGTGTGTGTGTGTGTGTGTGTGTGCAGATCGTCAAGACATGAGAGCTAACAATGGTTACTATGTAAGGCAGACGAGCGGCGCCACAACACACACACTGTAGTACACAAACACTCTGCTGAACCATTGTTAATACAGGTCCACCTTTTCTCTCCATTCATCCCCCCTCAGTGTTGATATACAGTTCCTTCGTCAGCGCCTTGGTCGAGTTGCCTTACAAGTTCATTGGAAATTCTATACCTCCACGACCTATGTACAGTACACTCTATTACTGAATAAAGATCAATCAGTCAGTCAGTCAGTCAAGAATGAATTAGTTATATTAATGTAATTTGCGTTAGTTGAGTGTTATACAGAGTAAGGATATATATATTGAACCATTGGAAAGACTACACAATGACTCGAGAAGTTTAAAGGTGCAAGTTGTTTATATAGTTGTGTTGGGAACAGTCAGGTGTGTGTGTGTGTGTGTGTGTGGAACAGCAGGAGTAGAAGGGTAAGCCACTTGGTCCAGATCAATGTGAGAGTAGTTTATCACTCCACGAGGTACTGACAATTGCTGACTGCTAGCTGACGAAGGCTGACTCCACCATAAACACCATTGCCTCCACCACCACTACTGTACCTCTTCTTTCACTAATGCCCCCACCACCTCCTCCTCTTCCACCACCACTACCATTATCTCCATCACTATTACCACCACCATCTCCACCACTACTTCCTCCACCACCATTCTTTTCATCGTCTGGCTCCAAGTGAAATAATCCTAACCTAACCTAAACGTGATCGGGCTGTCTGCGGTTTTATTTTGGGGATATATAAATTTACTGTAATTATTTTAAAATCCTTGTATTATTATTATTGTTGCGATATGATTCTTGAAACAAAAACGAAACAAATTATAACTTAACTTTACTGAAGTCACAGCTGGACATCAGAACAGTTTCCTCTGGGATTCGTGACGTCAGGTTACCATGGTTACAGCGTCCCTCAAACAAACATGGCGACGAAGATCACCAAGTGGACGCGGGAACGAGGAGGCAGGAAAGATTTCGTAGATCCTACTCGCCGGAGCCACCAGCGCCTCAAAATCCACCTCACGGGCCAAGATACTGTCAAGATGAGGGAGTTAGCCAAGTGGAAAGAGAAAGACAACTCGGAAAATAAACAGGAACGAGAAGAAAAGCGAGAGGACAGGGAAGACAGGGTGATCCGGAAGAGGATTGAAAAACTCCGTGCACAGCTTCATGACGTCACACTTCACGAGGTAAGTTATCTATTTAAACTTTTCCAACAAAAGTATCTGTTTGATCCTCATTATTGTATAAATTCAGAATTAAACGCCAAATTATATTTCGTTATATTTTGAGACATATTTATCCTGTAAGCACTCCAAAACGTGTACAACAATTTACATAAGGAATCACTATTTAGTTAATCCAAAACAAAAACAGACTCCGCAGCTCATAACCATATCTAAATGACTACGTTTTATTTATTAACGCTTACGTCTTGATAATGAAGTTGAATTAAAGAAAACTCATCTGTGTTACTACCTTCTTCCTTTACCTGCAGGAGAAGCAGCAGCGGAGAGAGTCCCGGCAGCAGGAGAGGGAGGAGGTCCCTCGCCGGGGTGTGGAAGAGCTGCGTCGTGAGGCTGACAAGGGGAAAGCGGCGCTGGTGAGGGTCCGAACTTACATCCCCACTGTGCCTGCCCCGACCACACCCAAACAACGGGCACGGACGATACATGCCAAGGTGAGTTTTATCTCTCTCAAGACAACTTTTAATAGTTTCCCTGGTTAAATCAATCGTTACAATTAGTCATATACCTGCAGTTTATATCCACTTGCTTTAGAGTTCATGGTTACATTATTGCAAGTAAATACTAGTAAGTTATTGCTATCAAGGGAGACAAGTATATTTATAAGACTTTGGGTTTTCAATCAATTATTCAGAGTATCTTCCTCATATCTGAGATCCACTCTAAACGTTCTCGGGCTGTTTTTATCAATCTTCCAAGGTTTTGTATCTCTCTGGGGACGCAGTTTTTAGTTTCATTCATTCATCCCAGTATTTGCCTTCCTATAGCCCTCCTAACCTCAACTTTGCCCATTAATATTTCTGTTATGATCCCCTCATACCCTAATTATACGTCTAAATTATATCTTTTTTTTCTGTACATTTCGTGAACTTCTCTTGAAGTTATTCCCAATCTTAGTATTTTGTGGGTGTTAGGACAAATTGTAAGCGAATTGTTAAGTTGTTTTGCTTAGTTAACCATTGACTGTTATCGTTTTCTTTTAAATTTCTTACAGAAAATAGATTATATGGATAACATAAGTATTTGAGGAAATTCTTGCATATTTAATTAGTATTTGATAGCAATATATCCTTTGTACTATAATGACAGCTCGTATTTTGTCACTCTCCTAAGCGACAACATCAATTTTGAGGTGTTCTGGCTGGAGTGACAATTCTCGCCTCGTAGTCTCATGTGATGGCCGTGGAAGAGATAACCCCCACAGGTGCTGGAGCAGAGAGCCGTACAGGTGAAGGAGAAGAGAGAGAGAGTGAGGCAACGACAGGAGGATGATGACTATTGGGCCAAGGTCGTCATTAAGAACCAAGAGCGTTTCAAGGACGACCAGTGGTACGAACACCTCCAGAAGATAGAGAAAAAAGACAAACTGAGGAAGGAGCTGGATAGACTGTGAGTCCTCGATAGATAAAATGGATAGAAATGGAAGGGAAATGGACAGATTGCGACAGTTTGTGTGGTGTATCGTTTAAAGACTTGATTAATAGGATAGACTTACCAGCCTTTAAGAATCCGAGAGAGAGTAATGATGATGATGATTATGATGATTATGATGATTATGATGATTATGATGATCTGTAACCAAAGGGCCATAAATTAAGACCCAAATAACTAAGACCAAATACCATAATATTTAATAGTCATACACTGAATACTATTACTATGCTGTTACTACAGGTGTGAGGAGAGGGAGGCGAGACGGGCAGAGGAGAGAGCCGAGCTGCAGCGCCTTCGTCAGGAGGTGGAAGTTAGCGACCAAGTATACCTCCACTACCACCAACACCTCGACAGACAGGTACTCTGACACACCTGTTTATCGACTGTGTTACGGAAAATTTAATAGGCACAATATATAAAAAATTATAACATTATCATTAACAGTAGTAGTAGTAGTAGTAGTAGTAGTGGTAATAGTAGTAACGGATGTGTAATAATCATAAGGATCCTATTAAAATTCTCTCTCTCTCTCTCTCTCTCTCTCTCTCTCCCTTAAACACAACGTCCTCTCTTGCTCTGGTTCTTCCTTTTCCTCCTCTTATCTTCCTTTTCTTCCTTTTCCTTCTCATGCGCCTCCTCTTTCTCCACCTTGTCCTTCTGATCTTCCTCTTCCTCCTTCGAATCTTTCTCTTCTTCCTCCTGCCCCTCATCCTCCAACTTCTCATCCGCCTTTTTTTTCCTCCCTCTTCTTATCTCATGTTCCTCCCGTCATAGGCCGCCCAAGAGAAGATAAGGAAGCGAGAGGAACTGCTAAATCAGATCGAGAAAGTGAGGACCACCAGGCAGCAGGAGGCGATGAAGGAGGACGAGCAGAAAGAGGGAGATCTGAGGTACTCGGCGGTGAGGAGAGCCTATGCCAGGAGAATCAAACAGAGGATCCTGGACAAGATGCAGGGGAAGAGGACGACGGTGGTGCCTGGCGAACCCGAGGAGACGTAAAACGAACCCGAGGAGACGTAAAACGAACCCGAGGAGACGTAAAACGAACCCGAGGAGACATAAAACGAATCCACAGAGACGTAAAACGAATCCAAGGAATAAAAAAAATTAAATAAACAGAATAAACAGACGATTGGTAAAACATAAACGAAGACAAAACGATGAGACAGACAGGCTGGAATCTAACAGGAGAAGGATCCATCTAACCTCGGAGCATTTTATTGTTTCACCATTAAATACTGTCTGTCACCCATTAGGAAGATACATGACACTTCATCTTCCTTTTCCCCTCCCCCCCCCTCCTTTAACTCCCCCCCTCTCTCTTCTCCCCTCCCCTCTCGCTCCTCTCCCCCCTCCTCTCTCTTTCATCTTCTCCTCCCCCGTCACTCATATGCATTCTCCCCTGGGCTGATGACACTCTCCTGAAAGACGTCATAACATTAACACACACACACACACACACACACACACACGCACACACACACACACACATACATACAGTACAGCAGGCGTTTTGTAAGCTTCCCTGAACATGTGATGGGGGCGTTAGAATGGTTCTATTTTGTACTTGTCTATATATAAATAAAATACAACAGTAATGGTTACGTTTTATTTTACATTTAGTTATAGAAAATGAGAGACTTGTTTTGGTTTAGTATTTCAGTGTTTTTCTATAATGAAGGGAAAATTTTTAAAGTTCATGAGTCATTCTCGGTAGCACCGATCACGTACACTAGTGACTGCTAACGCCTTTATAATCATACATACTCGGGCAGTCTAAACACCCATCAAGTATAGTTGGTAATTAACTCAATAGATGGCTCTCAGGGAGGAGATATAAACAACGACTTGGCAACTTTTCAGAATACGTCATCAACAAATATTCTCACATCTTTCCTGTCTTAACAACAATCTCCAATGTTTATGAGAGTTGTTAGCAAGGATACTTTGTTTAATACGATCGTTAACTGATGATTTCGTCTTCGTAAATTATTTAAATATCAAAGTAATAATTTGGTTGACTACACGTACTAAGCATTAAACGAGATATTTTCATGCAAACTTTATTGACTAGTATTTCTTTTTCATTAATTATAAGGCAGAGGATAGCCTGGTTGTATTGAAATATTTACTACTGGGGCCCGGGTCACTACACACGGTACGGTATCACCTTTCGTACCAGCCACCTCCTATTGTACTTTCCCCATTCCCTATAGTACCATTCCCCCTACGTTACCTTCCCCCATCCTATGGTAGAGCCCCACAAGGTATTATGGTGGCCAGGCGCGGGGGTGTGGCGCGTATAGAGGTGGTGGTGGGTCGGGCAGGCAGTCACCGAGACGAGAACGACGCTAGTGTGTTGTCAGTCGGCGGTGGGGATAGACGCTGTTCATCGTGCTCTCTTGTTGTCAGTGGACGATCCTTGGTAGTGCGTAAAGGTGGGGGCGTAAAAGTGGTGGTGGTGGTGGTGGTGTTGTTAGAGAAATACTGTGGTGCCCTAAGTCAAGAGAGAGGATACACATACACATATAAATACGACTAAGCTTGCGTTCATCGTCAGCTGAAGGAAGGAAGGAAGGAAGGAATCATCGTCAGCACAGGAGAGCTCAATCCTTGACAACGATCATAATGGGCAAGTTCAACTTTTTGTTTTGGTGTGACAGAGAAAACTTTCCTCCGACATTGCCTTAATCTCTATATCAAACGTTTTTTTTTTCTTTCCCCGACTTGTAGTGTTGTGCATCGCCTGTGTATATCGTCCGTATGTTTGTCTGGTGGCCGAGATTTACGTTAACAGGGTGATAAAGCGATTGTTGTGAAGGTGGTAGCTCCTGTCTGATCCGGCATACCACTGGAAGGCGAGTAAAAATATCTCTTGGTAGTATTGCCGGCTGTGTGTGTGTGTGTGTGTGTGTACTAGTGAGTGAAGGGGATATGTGTGTGTGTATTTATGTATGTATCTATATATAAGTGTGTGTGTGTTTTCTTATGTACCGGTGAACTCATGTCTCCACCGCTGCCCCCCCCTCGGGTAGATGGGAGGGGCTGTCTAACCTGCCCGACAACCAGCTGCTGCCATCAATTCACTACTCAATGAAGGCTATCTATCTATCTATCTATCTATCTATCTATCTATCTATCTATCTATCTATCTATCTATCTATCTATCTATCTATCTATCTATCTGTCCAATGGCCTGCGTGAAAGATGTACTGGGATAGAATGGTTCAGATTTGTTCCACAGATAGTACAATAGTTTAGTGAAGTAACCGAGTTTTGTCCCATAGATTGTTCACTGGGGTACAATAGTTAGTTAAGTAAGTAGATAAGTACACTTGTGAGGTGTTAAGTAAATACCTCAGTTGTTTACTTCAATTTGTTCATTTCCACACACACACACACACATACACACACACACACACACACACACAGTACCCCTGACCCTAAGTCTATCGCATTACGGTACAACGAATCGATAACTGCGAGGGTCGTACTGTGTGTATATATGTGTGTATATACCTGTCTGTCACTTGTTTCCCAGGAAAAAAATATTTTTTATTTTTAACACAATTATTTCCGGTTAATTAGCAGATGTGTGGAGTTGCAAAGGGCAGGTGTGCAGGGTTGTATAGAACAGGTATATAGGACAGATGTGTAGAGGTATATAGGCCAGGTGTGTAGAGGTATATAGAACAGGTGTGTATGACAGGTGTATGGTGTAGTCCTCTATTTTAATTTTTTAGTATACCCAGATGAAGGCACGATAGGGCAGAATCCACACTGATGAGGGTATGATGTATGATTATTGGCTTTTTGCATATCAGTGACGTCAGCTAGTCACCCCTCCTTATATTAGGTCAGGTCACCAGCCAGCCAGAACAAACGTCACCCCCCCCCCCACAACGCCTCCACCCCCACAGCGCCCCATACTCCGGGGGGTAGGTGACAACAAGCAACTAGTGACCCGCGGGGCCTTATCGATCGGCCTTCAAGAACCCTCACCTCTCCTCCTCCTGGGGATCAATAACACCCTCACTAAGGTAGACAGAAGGCGGCCAATGTTGGGGAAAGAACCGCGAACAGGAGGATGTTATTATTTGTTTGTTTAAAGAGCGGATGGTGTTGATTTTAACTCCGGTTTACATTATCGAAATTGAATTAACCTAATGTAACCTAATCTAACTTGACCTTACGTAAGTTAAATTAACGTAACTTAACCTAATCTAACCTCCTCCTCGGATTATGCAAATAAAAAAGAAAGTGAGAGCAACAACACACGCACGCACACATACGCACACACACATACGCACACACACATACGTACACACACATACGCGCACGCGCGCACACACACACACACACACACACACACACACTTTCGATCAATCACGTTCCAAAATAATCAATAACCTTCCTTTATTGCTGTGATTTTGCTTCCGGGATTGTCTGGCTGAGCGCTTGTCGCCTCCCCCCCACCTCCCCTCCTCACTCTACCCTACCCCTCTCCTCCCCACTCTCCCCTACCCCTCTCCTCCCCCTTCCTCCCCCTCTTCACCCCCTCCCCTTGGCCCACCGACTGTGTTTATCAATCATTCAGCGTCGCCCGCAAGCACTAAGGAGGAGGAAGGGGGGGGGGGGCGCTGAAGTGAAAAAGGGGGAGGGATGCTAATTCAGAAGGGGGACCCATTAGACTGGGACCCATTAGAACTGGGACCCATTAGACTGGGACCCATTAAAACTGGGACCCATTGGGGAAGAACTGGGAACTGAGACCCATTAGAACTGGGACCCATTAGAACTGGGACCCATTAGAACTGGGACCCATTAGAAGTGAGACCCATTAGAACTGGGACCATTTAACCACTCATCAATGTGTAATACGGAAGTCGCTGTTTTAATACATTTTTAGACCTGTGGATGATTCCCTTCCATTACCGTCGTCACATAATCCGCTTGTATTATGCCAGTGTGTGTGTGTGTCTGTCTGTGTACGTGTCTATGTGTGAGTGTTTGCACGTGGGTGTGTGTGTATGTGGGTGTTTATCTGTATGTTTGTGTGTCCGTGTCTGTGGAGTGGTGTGTGCGTATGTATGTATGTACGTGCGTGCCTCATATGCTACCTAGGCCAGGTCATACATATACGTACAGACAGTCAACTAAAACCAATATTATTTCCTCCCACGACCCAAGTCAACTCAAATTACTTAAGTCTATGAGTTGACTTACCTGTCCTCCTTTTAAATTACAGGTAATGTCATTCCTATAATTAAACTCCGGGGTGCCAGAGTGCCAGAGTGCCACCAGGTAACGATACGGACGACTGATGACAGGTGGGCGGAGTTCAATGACATGTGCCACCTTCTAGCCAATCACCGACAAGTAACCTTACTCCTGATTGGCTGGTGACGGGGGGTATTCATGGGTAGGGCCAGCGCCATCTTTGACCAGGTTGTAAATAAGAAAGTCTTGTAAATCGATTGAAAATGTGATAGGATTTTTTATTGTTTTGTTTTGAATTTGTGGTTTTATTAGTCTCAGTAACTTAAGCAGGAGAGTCTTTATGTTGCCTCTGTTTGTCTGTCTGTTTTGGTCGTAAATTCATGTGAAAGCCCATTAAATCCTCGTTCCCATTATACTATACCTACCCATTCAACTCTGATACATATTAGAACCACTCAATAGTACCTGATACCCATTAGAACTCAGTGCCCATTATACCTACTGTACACATGGACAGCAGAAGTACAGGTCAAGGTACTTCATGTAGGTGAGTTTTGTCACACCTAAACCTAACCTAACCTCAATGTCTGCCCCTTCAAATCACCTTTTTCTTCCCTCTTCGCTAATTTCCCTTCTTTCCTCCCCCTCCTTTCCCCCTCTCTCTCTCTCTCCCCCTCTTTCCCCCTCTCTTTCTCCCCTCTCTCTCCTTCCCTCCCTACGATTAAGAACTGGCGTAATTGGTGATAAATCAGAGGAATAGGTCAATGATGGGGAGTTAGTTGGAGGGTGAAGGAAACTTACCACGTGTTAACCTCTCTCTCTCTCTCTCTCTCTCTCTCTCTCTCAGTGGGATGTGTGGCGTGTGTGTAATTTGGAATGTCTATAGCGAAAAATGCGTATAGTTAAGGGTGTGTATAGCGGAGGATGTGCATTACGTATAATGTCTATAGAAAGGGGATATATAGAGCGAAGAATGCCTATAAATTCAAGGGAAGCTCACAACCTCCAGGTAATGAACAACGTGAGAGCCACTGGCCTTAGGAGGAGAGAGGATGGGGAGGAAAAGAGGAGGAAGAAGAGAGAGTTTATTGGTATAAATCTCTCATATTATTCGGCCTGCTGAGAAAGAAGTTTATGTAAAGTACGGCCGTTGCTGGGTGGTGTTGATGATGGTAGTGATGATGATGACGAAGTAAGAATTTGAAGAGATGATCCAGTAGTTCTCATATTGAACCTTATTACTTCACCGTATAAGATCGACGATGTTATGTGATATAATAAACTTGTCTTTATTACATGGCGTCGTCTGCCTCAGGGAGTGTTGATAAGACTGGAGGGTTTAGTTCATGTTAGGTGATGGAGGAGGTGTGTGTGGAGG